AACCCTCTGGCGGGTTCGGCTGCGACGGATGGATGAGTTGTAGCCTCGACCGAGTCTGCACCGAGGCGATTTGAAATAAGGGCACTTCGCACCGCTTGTTGCGGCGGCGAACCTAGATGCCATTTGTCCTTTCGAGGTGCCCAGGGGGGATTCTCGCTCTGATTAGGGGATAACGCACCATCACGGGGAGTAGTCGCGCCCACGACTGAAATGCGTTTGCTTTTCGCCATAAAATGCCGGTCTGTCGGACCTGTACGCGCGATTGGTCAGACAATGTGATGCCAGGTTTTCGGCTTGTGGGTAAGGGAAGAGTTCACTTCCTCTTTACCCGGGCGAAAAGAATCGGGCGATTGTCAAAGACACCGCGGATAGTCATACAGCGCACTTTTGATTTTTCGGCGGACTTTGCGCAAATTCGCCGTAGTCGGGGCCTGGAGAACTGTATGTTGATGATATCACGCTTGAAAATAGCGACGGATGAGTACGGTCAGTCGACGCATTTCGGGAAATTTAGTGACCAAGCGTGAGTTCGCGCCAGGCGTTGGACAATTTCCTCACGCCGATGTTGCGATCTTTTTCCTGAAGGCACGAGTTCAATATTGACTTCACCCAAGTGTGCCGATTTTGGAAAATGTGAGACCGCCCCAAAGTTCTGGCTTGCAATGTGCGAAAGGGTTGTCGCCTACGGTTGAGCAGAATAGTGCGAAAAAAATACCCACACGCGTTCATCGCTTCTATTTCGCGTTGGGAGTTGGCGTGCTGCATCTTCTCCAGAGGAGCATCGCTTTTCAGTGACCTCGGCAGGTGTTGCCCTGGGGGCATGGTGAGCATGCCGCGATCATTGTCGGCCCTTCGACGTTGGGAAAAAAGACGATATTTGGATCACCCGCCGCCAACCGAGCTTACCTCACGGTCGAGAACAGAGAAAACGAGCGTGGCAAGCACCAGATGGCGAGGGTCAGATACGCCACTGAAGCCCCATCGAGAAAGGCGGCTCGACGAGTAATAGCGGTAACAGCGGTGAGAAAAACATCGGCCCACCGCGTTTGTTGAACGCTGTTTTGCCACAGCTTGGGACCCAATGGTAGAGTTTGCGCGGGGATCGATGTCTTTTTTTTCATTACATTTGGCTCTCGTGCGCGAGGTGGCGCTGGCAATAAAGAGCGATTCGATGAGTGAAAAATGCCATGAGGGTGACGAAGACCGAATTTGAGAATGAAAATAAGGGGAATGAGTATCAGATTTTCCCATGCTGACCCTCAACGGGAGCATGGGGATTTTGAGAGCTCGAGAAGGCCGGCAATAGATGTGAGGATAGCAAAAATGACGGGAATATATACTTCTTGCACGCCATCAATGGCTGCGCGCAAACCGCGTTTGCCCATTTGATGATGGCGATAGATGTTTTCCCCTACGATGACGGCGTCATCCACGACAATGCCGAGCACTACGATAAATGCAAAGAGGGATCCGATCCTTGTTGATGGATGACGGTTTTTGTTCGAAGAAGGGCATATTCAGGCCGGATTGCGCCGAGAAAAGAAAGACATAGGAAATGAGATGGGAATGCCCAGAGCAACCCAAAAGGCGAGTCGCAAACGCAAAAACATCGTCAGTGCGATAAAGACGAGAATAAAGCCCATTTGACCATTGCGCAGCATGAGTTCCAGACGTGTTCATTATAGATGCGAAGGAGGAGGAATAGTCTGCCACCCAGACGGCGTGAGTTTGCTTGCCCCGGGCCCCAATGCGCTGTTGCGTGTCATTGATATACGCTTTGACTTTTTTTGTGATGTCCAGGACATTTTTGATCGCCCACGCGATAAACCTGGACAATCACGGTGGGTTCTGCATCAAATTGGGCAGATTGGTCGGTTTCTGCAAACCCGTCGATGACTGTCTTCTGGCGACATTCGAACAGGAGAAAGGCGGTATCGTGCCATGGGTGGCGAGAGCGCAAGACGATGCCGATTCAAATTATTGCCTCGATCATGACTGCACTTGGGTCCAACAGAATTTCTCCACCCTTTGTGCGCATCGGGCACGCAGGGCAGACTCGACAGTAGAAGTGCCTTACGGCCATGGCAATTTCGCTAAACGTTCAGAGCGCCTAGACGCCTCAGGTGCACTTTTTTCCGGGGACTTCGATAGCGAGTTCGTAGTACTGGACGTGCGCTGACGAGATCTACTTGTGTGATGCCGGGAATGGTTGCAATGTCGTCTCTGACGTGCTCGCCAATTGTTTGAGGTGTTTTAATCGTCAGCGTCACGAGATGGCAACGTTGATGACCTGGCGCGGTGGTGTATTACTCGAATGAGCGGGGTAGTTTCGGTGTCACACCGGAAAGTGGTGATGGCATCTACGCGGGCTTTGACATCGTCGAGCAATTTGCGCATATCAGCACCGGACTCGAGTTCGATGTTGACAGAACCGCTGTTCTCCGATGCTGTGGAGGTGATGCGATCAATGCCATCGAGACCCAGCACGGCTTCTTCGATGCGCACGCAGATGGCTTCTTCGACTTCTTCGGGAGCAGCCCCCAGATAGATCATGGAGACATTGATCACGTCTCGCGAAAACTCTGGAAAGACTTCCATTAGCGACTGTGTGTCAGTGCTGAGAATAAATGCGCGCCTCCCATAATCTCCATACCTCATCAACAGACTTGGCCGACACGCTATTCTGCAAACAGCTCAGCGGCATTTCTCATTGCGTACCTCCAGTGCGCACGGTTGGCGAACGGGGCGCATTTGGCCGATCTAACGATGGTATCGAGTTGACGATTACGAGAGGTGTCTCGACCCTCGATTTAGGACACTTTCTAATCACATGACTTGTTCTGCGTGGTCGGCGCGCAAGATGTCGATGGTTCACGATACATTGAGGCGATTTGCCCTGACCCACGAGGGACGCGATTTTGCCATGCGAGACGAAGGCGTGCGCGGAGCTTATGCCATATGCCCGACGTTTTCGCGCGATGACCCATTTATTCTGCCCCTTGGTTGACAAACATACCCACTGCCAATTTGGTGGCTGTGTTTTGCATGATTCGCGCTGGTGGGATGGGTTATCACTAGCCGCCGACGAGCGCGGGGGATCATGCCAGATTTTTCTTCTCTATCCGCGCCCTTTTCTCGTGTCAATTTCGCCATTCATACGCGACAATGAGTTCCCATATATGTTTGTGTTCCTGTCCGGCAAATGTGGCGCGGAAACGCACGTCGGGGCCTGAATTATGATGGGGATTATTGCGAAAGGAGAGCGGCAGGTCCAGATAAGCGAGCTGGTCATCGGGCATGGGCTTAGTAGCACTTGCGCATAGTCGGTTGCGGTAATGTGTGTTTTTCCGTAGTCGGTGAACCGGGGTTGACTGATTGCCGTTTTTTGCTATAGCGGCTTTTTTGGTTGCGAACGCGTCCGGGATAAGGTGCTCTAATTTGCGTGCGTTCGAGGTTGAGGTTTGCGCGCATCAATGCGCCTTTGGCTGCGGTAATAGTCGCACGGGCCTCGTCAATTTGTGGCTTGCGCAAAACCAGATCGGTTGGCGCTCCACTGCCTAAACGTTTCCATTCGTCGCGGGCAATTGCGGCTTCTTCTTCTTCGCGTGCCAATCGCAATTTGGCCTGTGCGACCTGAACCTGTGCTTGTGCAACAGCGACTTCGTAATCGCGGGGATCAATAGTGAGCAGGACATCGCCTTTTTCAAAAAATCCCCCGTTGGCAAATGCTGGTGATACTTCAATGATTTGGCCGGCTACTTGTGAGATAAGTGAGGTTTGCGTGCGCGGGGCAACCGTGCCTTGCGCTGGAATAACGAGTTGGAAGTCTGTGGGGTAAACAGATTGAACGCGAATGAGCGGCGGGGGGACTTCTGTAGGTTTGGGCTGGACGACTTTTTGGCTTCGGACAAGAGCATAAGCGCCCAGAACACCGATGATCAGGACAATGATGGGAAGGAGGATTTTGAGTTTCACGATGCGTTTTTCCTTGTCTATTTTTCTGAAGGAACTCGGGGGCGTTTAAATTCTTTTAGAAAGAGAGAATCGACGGTGGCTTGAAGGATCAGGAGTGCTCGCTGATGGTCACCGGATTGCTGTAAGAGGCGGCTGGCTATCTGGCGTGCGTTGTCGGCGTTGTCCTGTGCGCGTTTGAGGTCGCTTCTCAGCGCTTCAATCTGGCGATTTTGTACATTTAGTCGCTCGTTGGCGCGGTCGAGTTTTTGTTGTGTGTTTCGCAATGTCTCGCGGTTTTTGGCGTGTTGTGCTTCCTCGCGCTTGAGCCGATTTTGGGTTGATGCGTGAAGCGATCTTTCGGTGTTGAGGCTGTCCTGATAGACGCGGTGCGCGAGGGTTTCTCGATTTAAGTCGCTTTGTGTGAGGCGCAATGTCTCGCGTGCGGCGTCGCGTTCTTTGCGGGTGCGTTGATGATGGGCGATTTCATTGGATAGCTTGCCGCGTATCTCGACTTCAGATCCAGTCAGTATAGCTTTTTCATTGATTTGGGACAGGAGACGGTCGGTTTGTTCGCCGAGTCGCTCGCGGAAAGCCGTGAGTTCTTGCTGGAACCGCGCTTGCGTATTTTCAAGGGTTTGCTCCTGGCGCGTGAGCGAGGTTTGCAAAATCAGGATCAAAAAAGTGATGACAATAACAGATGCGTAGCCCAAAAAGCCGTAGAGCCAGTGGCTTTCAAGGCGGAAGAAGGACTTGTCTTCACTTTTGACGCGTTCTGAAACTTGCAAAACAATGTACAGACCCACGCCGAGTAGAATGAGTGTGCCGAGGTAGAGAGGATGATAATTTTCATAGTTGATTCACTGTGTGGGTTAATAAGCGGTGTACAACTTCCGAAGAAGATTATTTGAATCTTGTAAATATCATGGTTTTGGCTTTATAAGCAAGTGGAAAGACAAAGGTGTACAGCTTCCATAGAAGTTCAAAGAGCGTCGGCAAATTGCGCCGACGCTCTTTTTTGTTGGGGCTGTGTTTTAAGTCGTGTAGTTTTAACTGCAATAGGTAGCGAGTCGCTTACTGTGGGTGGGATGCCGCAGCCGATTCAGGGCCTCTTCTTTGAGTTGGCGCACCCGTTCTCGACTGACCCCCAGTTTGTTGCCTATTTGTTGATAGGTTGCGGGTTTTGAACTGCTGACTTCGGCGCGTTCCGCCGGATCGTTGAAACCGTAATAGAGATGCAGTATTTGTCGGTCGCGATCGGGCAAAGCACTGAGCGCGTTGTGTATATCATGATGCATGGTGTTTTGGATATAGGCGTCTTCCGGAGATAATGTTTGGGGATCGGACAGGGTTTCTTGAAGGGTGACAGCGCGAGGGGCTGAGTTTGCCGAAGCGTCATCATCGTACATTGGGGTATCCAGAGACACCGCGTTGTAGGACGATTCGAGGGTATGTGTGACTTTTTTGAGGGGTAGATCGGCTTCTCGAGCGAGTTCATCGGCGTCGGGATGCCGGTCGAGGTGCTGGTAAAGATCTGCTTCCACTTTACGCAATTTGTTGAGGTCATTGACGACATTGCCGGGAATTCGAATGGATCGGGTTTGAACTTCGAGGGCTTTCAGGATGTTTTGCCGTATCCACCAGACTGCATACGTGATAAATTTATAACCTTTTTCGGGTTTGAATTTGCGAGCAGCGGTCATCAGGCCCATGTTGCCTTCATTGATGAGATCGGCCATGGGAAGCCCTTGATTCTTAAAATTTTTGGCAACGTGAATGACAAAGCGCAGGTTGCTGGTGATGAGCTTTTCGCGGGCTTTCTGCCCAGCCTGTCGAGCGCGAGCACTCGCACCTGGCAGGTTGCCCAGGGCAATTTGCTCTGTCAGGGCTTTTTCTTCCTCTGGCGTGAGCAGTGGATGTCGCTCGATCTCCTTGTAGTAATAGGCGAGAGAGGGTTCATCCCCCCCACTCGACTGCTGATGAAGCGAGGTATAACCTTGCCCTGGAGCCTTGCGAAGGCCCTGCCGAACGGGTCTGCGACGTTGGTTCATTTCGGAAATCATGCTGCCTCCTTGTGGTGTTCTGAGGCTCTATAACTTTTGCGAGACATCTATCTGATTCTGTGAAATAGCCTCAGTTATGACCTGAGAAATAATATAGTGAACATTTGTTCATAAGTCAAGAAAAAAATATCACAATAAATTATTGTTTATAAAGAATTTATTGTGATATAAAGAAAAATATGTGCAGTATTTTGTTCAGTAGGACAAAAAATGCCATTTAGGTGCGCGGTTCAGCCATCTACAAGTTCGTATATGCCCGAGTTTTTCATGTTTTCGCGAGTTTCAACTTTATAGACCCAGCATCGGTTGCGGGTCATGTCGCGCACGAGTTTGTCGGCATAATCAAAGATAAATTTTGACGACGCTTCCATGCCAGCGTTGGGCATAATGCGCAGATCGACCAGGCCACGACAATGCATTTCTTCAAAAAATTCCCGTTCGGGATCATTTTCGTTGATGAGCATTGTGTGATCAAACATGTGCTCTAACCACGCTTTGAGCTTCTTGAGCTTGCTAAAATCGACGACAAAGTGATTTTCGTCGAGTTCGTTACATGCAAAATAAAATGTGATCTCGCGGTTGTATCCGTGAATAAATCGACAGTGGCCGTCGTGATACCCCTGACGGTGCGCACAGGGCAGATCGTGATAGGTTTTGGTCGATGAGAATTTTCCCTTTCCCATGGGTATCCTTTCTATTTACCTGCTTTTCGCTGTGCCGTCTTGTGGGGTGTAGCCCAATACTTCCCTGGTGCTATCAATTCCGAGATAGGATTTTTTGTGATCAGATACGCCATGTACAATGGCAAAGTTGGTATCTGCTTCCACGCATTTTTGAAAAAGTTGTGCGGTATCTCTGGGACTGATGAGCATGCTGGGTTTGTCTGGATCGCGAATTTCATCGGCATTCCATCTTGGGCCGCCCAGGCGCACACAGATGCAGGATAGTCCGTGGGTTTCGGAGTACACCCGCGCGAGGGCTTCGCCCCAGCATTTGGTGGCGCCATAGACATTGGTGGGAAACACGGGCACATCCCATTCAATGGATGACTCGCCCGGATAGCCCAACACGGCATTGATCGAACTGGCAAAAACAATGCGCTTGCAACCACACAGATGTGCTGCGTGAAAGGCGTTGTATGCGCCAATAATATTGAGGTCGAGCAAGGTTTCGTAAAAGTCGGCGCGAGGACTGCGGTCGGCTGCGAGGTGTATTACGGTATGGATACCCTGGCAAGCCGCTTGAAATTCGTCGAGATTGGTAATATCCATCTGGACAAATTCTTCGTGATCTGCAAGATTTTCAACCGGGTTCACATCTGCAAGCCGAAGGCGATATGTTGCGCCCCAATGGCTGCGCAACATATCAGCGACAAAGCCCGCACCACCTGTGACGAGAATGTGTTTTTGTTCGGACACAATAAAACCTTTCTGTGGAAGCGGTTAGACCACCCAGCCCCAGCCTTTCAACCTACCATCCATGTGTCCAGTGCCCACCTGTTGGAAACCAGATGAGATCGACAATAGAAGAAACGATGACGCCGGTGACATAGCCCACTGGCAGGCCAACAAAATAAGGTGCTGCGCGACGGTACAGGGCAATACCGCCGATACGCAAGAAAAGAGATTTGGCCGCCCAGGTGAGAAAAATGGAGAAGCTGTAGATATTTGGACCAGAGGTATTTTGAAAGGCCAGACCAATGGGGTGCAAGGGCCACCAGGGCAGGCGGCTGCGCAAGCCAATGAGCACGAGTGCTTCAAAGATGCCAATGAACCATACAGCCATTTTATAAGGATCAAAAACGGTTTTTTGTTCGTTGAGAATGTGGTTGGTCATGTTGTTGTAGAGGCGAACAGAGGCCGAGTTTGAGCGGCCGGTGAACGGAGCCGTGTGCAGGTTTTGGCCCCCGTGCGCGTAGGCCAAATAGATAATAAAGATGAAGGAAGCGAGCAAGCCCGCGGTGAAGGCAAGCGCGGCGATACGGGCAACGCGGGCGTTTGGCGACGCACCGTGCAATTTCAGGTGATGAGGCAGCGCAGGCCATGCGGGAATGCGGTTGTTGCCAAAGAAAGCACTGGAGTTGACAAATTCGATACTCACAAAGTCCGAGGGGGTCAAGTTGGCAGTACCGGCAAAGGTATAGACCAGGCCCCCGCCTTTGCTGTACACGGGCAAGAGATGGGGAAAACCACTGGCGGCTGTGAATTTGGCGACTGTGAGATATGCCGTGTAGAGTAGCGCGGTTTGCAAGAGCGCGAGGGGGATGGACATGCCCATTGCGTTCATCCAGCCGATGATGAAGGCCGTTGATAGAACAAAGCCAATAAACGCCATGCGGTAAGATATAATGCCGTCGTTATGAGCAGAATGTCGGCCTTCCACAACTGCTTGCCAGACGCGAGACAGGTGCACCCCGAGCGACCCAAATAGACCAGAGTGCCAGCAAAACAAGGGCGCCGTGGCTTTCGAGATTGATGATTTCAGACGATTTTGCCTGCTGGTCGGCCAGGCCCAGGGTGAAGCCCGTGCGGTCCATAATGCCGAGTTTGACAATGGCGACGAGGCGCAAAACCCAAAAGCTGAAGAGGATGTCGAGATTGCAGAAGTAGGTAAGGCCCACCACCGGGGGCAAGATGCGAAGATAAATGGGTTGAAAGTCGCGGGCGAGGTCGATTTGTTTGCTCAGATACCCGGCGTAAATAGTGATGCGCGGCAGGCCAGTGGCGAAATAACCGAGAATATTCCACGCGAAAACGGCAAAAACAGTGAAAAACCCCGCCCAGAAAATTTTATTGCGAAAAATGCTGGGGACACGCCCGGGTTGATCAAAGCCAGATGTGAGTTCTACCGCAAATTGCGCGAGCGGAAAGGCGAGTCGCTCGTGGTTTTCCCACTGGCGTTGGAAGAGAATACACAAGCACAATCCCGCTGTAAAAACGGCCAATGAGATGGCGGTCCACCAGAACAGGGGTTGCAGCCAGCCAGCCCAGGGAATGGAATCATAGGGAGCCAATCCATCGTAAAAAGGGCGAATAACTGCAGGCGATACGTCTGGCAGGGTCCACCAGGGCAAGATGTCAAAGATGATTTCAGTCCAGCGATTTTCAGGTGACGCATAATAGGTGGGCACGGCCATCGTGCTCGTCCAATAAGCTGCCCAACCTTCGAGGGGAATAACTCCCGCAATCCAGGACATGCTGTAGATGACCAGCAGTTCGGTGCCCGAAAGTGCCGCTTTGGGCCAGAAGGTTTTGAGACCGATATTGGCAAATAACCAGAGTACAAAGGGCAGCAACATGGCCATTGGATATTGCGATTTGACCAGGGATGACGACCCCATCACCAGCCCAGCGTGGTCGGTGTACACGTTGAGAACAATGGCGGTGAGTGCGCCAAAGAGCACGGAGCGCCCTGTGATGCGCGAGGGAATAGCTCGAGATTCTTGTTGAGGAGATGTTGCAGCCATGGTTAGTCGGGTACGGCGAAGTGGTCGGAGAAAAGAAAGACGCGTGTAATTTTCAGAAAGCGGGGACCTTTGTACGCGTCGCGTTTGTGCAGGAGTTGTGCGTTATCGTAAATGAGCATGTCTCCCATGCGATAGTTGTGCTGGTATATATGCTGTGGGCGGAGTTGATAGGTGAGTAGTTCGCTTTTGAGGGCTTGGCTTTCAGCTTCGTCCAGCCCGTGAATTCCGCGCGTGCCGGGAGCCAGATAGAGGGTTTTTCGCCCAGTGCTCGGGCTGGTGAGTACCAGAGGATGGGTGACTTCAAGGGGTTCGACTTCGTGAATTTTGCCGGGCAGGTATTTGACGCGCATGTTCTCAATGCGTTTCTTGAGTGTCTCAGGAAGGGCTTCATAGCCCATGTGTGTACTGCAAAAGCTGGTACCGCCCCCTTGTTCCGGGGCGATAATACAGAAAAGCGTGGATAGTGTGGCGGGATTTTTGCGGAAGGCCTGGTCCGTGTGCCAGCCACCGTCATCGTCTGTGATGGGGGTACCAATAAATGTACCATTATCATTGTTCAAATTCGAAATGTAATTGACTTCTTTGAAACGGGGACTGTGATTGATTCTGGCTGCAGGTTCTTCGATGGGTCCAAGTGCGGCACTGAGGGCGTAAATGTCTTCGTCGTGGAGCGATTGCCGCCGAAAAAGAAGCAGGGCGTGTTCGCTGACTGTGTCGAGAATGGCTTCGGCCATTTCGCTATTGATTTGAGTGAGGTCAATGTCGTGAACTTCAACGCCATAGTTGGGTGTGAGAGGTGTTTTTTGGAAGGTCATGACCGGATTCCAAATGCTTTGTTATAAATATTAGAGACTTCGTTGAGGTTGCCGTAAAAGGCGCGCACTTCGGGGTCTTTGTGGTCGCGCCAGAAGATGGGGGGGATGACGGAATCATTGGCCAGGTATTTGCGGTCGCGGTGTCCGTAGTAGATTTGCAGGGTTTTGCGATCGCATTTTGTCGGTCGCGTGGTGGCCGTGTGTAGTGCCGCGACATTGAAGAGGCAGACCGTGCCTGCGGGACCGTGAATATCGGCGATGCCGCCGCGTTTGAGTTGCGCCTCTTTGTCTTCGAGTGTGGATTCGTAAACCGATTCGGGAGAGAGGGAGAAGCAGTGGGTATCTGCGCCGACATCTGTGAGGTAGAGCATGAGCTGGATATAGTCCATTCGAAATGGATGCTCATCCCAGTAGGGGCGGTCGCGGTGCCAACCGCGGTGCAGTTCGCCGTCGTAAGGGAGCATGTAACGCGCGCCAATTTCGCCAAAGCAAACCGGACCACCCATGAGTTGTTCGATTGCTGCGAGAATTTTGGGATGTCGGATCACGCGGTCAAATTCAGGCGTGGTGACGAGCGCGTCGTAATTGGCCTGCTGATGATAGCCATAGGGATGCCAGCGAAACTTAAATTGCTCGCGGTCGCGGTCGAACAGCGCGATAAATTCGTCGCGCTCATCATCGGTAAGTAAATCGGTGCGCACGATATGCCCGTGGCGCCGAAAATAATCGACTTCGACTTCGTTGAGGATGGGTTCGGTGGGATTGGACATGAGACATATTTCCCGAAAAAGTTCAAGCGCGCCAAATTATGCGTTCCCGACCATTACCAGCGCGACATCCGCCACATTGGTGCCGGTTGCTCCGGTGATGATCAGGTCATCCAATGGCTTAAAAAAGTTGTAGGCATCATTGTTTTTTAAATGCGCAATCGCGGAGAGTCCCAGCGCTTCTGCTCGCGCTATGGTTTGTCCATCGGCTACGGCGCCCGCGGCATCGGTTGGTCCATCGGTGCCGTCTGTGCCTCCACTAAATAGCACGACATTGTCCCACCCTGCCAATTGAATTGCGCCCGATAGCGGTATCTCTTGATTGCGCCCGCCCTTGCCATCTCCGCGCACCAGCACGGTTGTTTCTCCGCCGGCAATCACGCAGGCCGGTGCAGCAAGGGGCTGTCCAGATGTCACAATTTCTTTTGCAATACCCGCATATACATAAGCGACTTCTCTCGCCTCGCCCTCGATGCGCGTGGATAATACCAGTGTATTATACCCCAATGCCATAGCTTTGTTATTTGCCGCCGTCACTGCCAGACCATTGCTGCCCACGACGAGATTTTGAACTTTGGACAGTGCCGTATCGCCGGGCTTGGGCGTATCTTCAATATCCCCGGCTAAACCGGCGTTTAGTCGCAATCGAACACTTTCGGGTATTTTATCGACCAATTCGTATTTGTCCAGAATATCCATACACGTCTTAAATGTCGCGGTATCCGGCACTGTGGGGCCAGATGCAATGACATCCATGGGATCGCCAATCACATCTGACAACATCAGTGCGACGACTGTTGCTGGAAAAGCCGCACGCGCCAGGCCGCCTCCTTTTAAGCGCGACAGATGTTTGCGAATGGCGTTGAGTTCCACAATATTTGCACCACAGGCCAATAACAAACTCGTCGTTTTTTGCTTGTCCGCGAGTGTCAATCCTTCAGCGGGTGCGGGTGCGAGTGCCGAGCCGCCACCGGAAATCAAACAAATGACCAGCGTGTTTTCATCCGCTTCTTTCAGCAGACGCATTATGCGCCCAACGCCTTCAACCCCCGATTCGTCTGGCACGGGATGGCCGCATTCCACTATGTCGATATGTTTTAAGGGCAATGCATGGTCGTATTTTGTATTCATAGACCCACCAGAAATGTGATCGCCTAATACATCTTCCAGGGCAACGCCCATCTGTGGCGAGGCTTTGCCCGTGCCCACGACCAGAATGCGGTGGTAAACACTTAAATCATAATTTTGATCGCCCACGCGCAAAATATCGCCATCCAGCGATACAAATTGTCGTACACACTGCTCGGCATCAACTGCTTTGACCGCCACATCAAAAATCTCTCGCGCGTGTGCGCGCATAGTTTCAACGTCAAAAATACGCATCTAATGTGCTCCTATTCTATTGAGTGACAAATGTCGCTGTCGCGGTTGCTGTCTGGCCTGTTGTTTCATCTACAATTGCGATTTTTACGGTCTTTTCGCCCGGTTCAGAGCGCGACATATCCAATTCGATATACCCCGGCTCCTGGGTCTCTGTTCCCGCCTGCTCGTATTCGATTGAAACAACGCCTTGCTCGCTTTTTTCCCCGAGCAATTTGCCTACGCCACCTAAAATTCGCGCGCCGATGGTCTTTAGGTCGCGCGACCGTACCACATAAGATACGCGGTATTTGGTCTGGCCGAAGGTATTGCGTTTTAGGTTGTAAATTTCAAAATAGATAAATACGGGTTGTGTGGGCAAATAGGCTTTTGCGGCCATGGGGATCACTTCGATATCGCCCTTTTGGAACCGGCTCTTGTCGGCTACATCAATGGTGGCGGCGAGTTCCACATCGCTGATTTTTAACTCGTCATCTATATCAAATTCGGGTACGACGCGGTCTATGCGATACACCTGTGATTTTCTGGAACGACGATCCAAAACCTGCACGGAAATGCGATAATTGCCCGGTGTTAAAAACAAACGGTCCATCTCCGGCATATACGCGTCAGGCGACTGATCGGCTCCTCCTGACGCACCCAGTACCATTTCCTGGCTCGTGCGATAGACGGGATCGCCTGCCTGATTGTAAACCACAATACCGCGGTCTAATTGTGCGATCTGCGCGCCATCTTGTCCGGCCTCAAAAAGCAACTGCGCGGTTGGAATACCGTAATAAATTTCGAGTACGGTCAGACCCTCTTGCCCCCGAAAAGCGGATGAGGCTAAATAAAAGTCCAATGCGCCCGTCGCAAAGTCGGGGCGATATGTCATTGGTGTAACGGCTGCAATTTGTTTCAATACAATTTCTGGATGCATGTCCTGCCAGATCCGCGCAATCCGCCCTCTACCGAGCGGTATATCGGCATAATCCCATGCCCCTTGATTTACCCTCTGTTCAAACACGACCTCTATACCATCGCCAACATCGGTATAGAGCCAGTATTCCCATATCCCGTCCACCGGATATACCGGCCATCCCAAAATGGTTCCACTGGTCACTTGTTGTCGTTCGCCGCGCGCGCCGGGGCTACTTTGCCCGCTGCGCTGCGATTGCCCGCGCATTCCCACCATGCTCGATGCGACCGCATCGGCTCGCGCTCTGAGCAACCGATCTACCGCTGGTCCTGCCTTTTGGATGAGCCGCTCTTTTACGTCAACTAATTTTTTTGTTCGCTCCAGTTCAATATTGCCCGAATTGCTCACATGGTCAGGCGCACCATAGCGAATATAGGCTTCGCCGCGAGCATCCCAGGGAAATCGTTGTGTCCCAAAAAATTCACGCGCATACGCGATGCGGCGGTAGTGCTCCAATAACCGTTCATTGGCTTGGGTGACGGGAGCTGGATCTAAGCGCGACCAAAATGTTCTAAAAACGCGCTTTTTTTCGGGGAGTGTCTCGGCATCGTTATATTGCTTGAGAATAGTGCCCGATGCGACAAAGTTCAGGTCGCAATAGGTCTCCTGCTCTTTTTCGGGCAACTGTTTGATATACGATTCGAACAATCGCGCGGACTGGTCAAATGCCTTTGCCCTTTGAAATACCTGCGCCAATTCCAATACGGCGCGACGCTGAAAATCGCTGGCAACTGTCGCAACTTTGAGCAGGTGCTGAAGTGCCTCTCGCAATTGCCCGAGCAATTTCAGATCAATGCCCAGATTTAGGCGCGCTCCGAGGTGATCCGGTTTTGCTTCTAATTGATCGCGATATGCTTGCACGGCTTTTTCGCGTTCCCCATCTTTATCGAGCAATATCCCTATGCGATAGCTTGCATTGGGGTGTTTGGGATCGATCTTCAACACGTTGCGATAGGCTTTGAGGGTCTCAGTGCTGCCGTAATTTTCCAGGGTTTGTGCCAGGTTATATTGCGCTTCCGAGTACGTTTTGTCTGCCCGATTAGCATCCCGAAAATACGCAATTGCCCGACGCAGTTCGTTCTTTTTGCGGCTATAGACCAGGCCCAACCCATTGTAAGCCGGTGCGTATTTTTTGTTTTTTCTCACCGCGGTCTTAAACGCCTTTTCCGCTTCGGACAAATCGCCCTGTTTCAAATAGACCTGGCCCAGGCCTACATAGGCGGGTGCGTACTTTTCGTGCTGGGCCATTGCGGATTGAAAAGACAGAAGAGCCGCATCCAGATTTTCTGCCTCAAAGTGTTTCATCCCTTCTCGATATGCTTTCTCAGCCGCGGCAATGGCCTCTGGCGAAGCATCTTTTGCCAAACCGTTTGTTGCAGTCAGCGCGATGCACAAAATTCCCAGTATTATCCATTTCATAACAATACACCTTTTATCGCATTTTTTGATCGGCTGCAAATTCGCCCCATGATACGCAAAAGGAAACGAAAGCACAAGTGGGGCACTATTCGCTGTAGAAAACAAAAAAGCGGGGCTCTCAAAGAGCTCCCGCTTTTTTGTTGTGCCGGTTGTACGCCAAATCCTTCCCCTCTCCCCTGACGAAAGAATACACGCGACAACCGGCTCAAAATCAAGCCGCAATAGGTTGTGCATCGGCTTTGCGCCGAGCGTCTAACCTCGTTTTTATTTTTTGGATCAATTCGGATGCCTGACGCTTGTCCAATCCACTGTCAATCTGGGTTTTCAATTGCCCGCGTTCTTGCTCCGTTAGCCGCGGACTTCGCCCCAGATTTTTAATCAAGTCAATCTGACTTTGCGTCGCAGATGAACTGTTGTCCACCGCTTCAACATCGCCGTGAACTGCTGTCGCAGTCATGCTCGAATTACTCGCCTTCATACCCCGCTCGGTCCGTGCGGCGTCTGCGGCCACCTGGATCTCATCGACAGAACACATTCCGGTCGCCGTGGCCAAGCGCATCGCCCGATTAGTGGCGCGTCGCGTCGCCATTTCGAGTGGATAATCGGAAAACCGCACAAATCCTTTGAGATTTTTAGGCGTTGTGGTACCGTAATCGACAAAAGGTTGTGCAAGCCCTTCAACCCACACTTCACCGCGCATTACCACCAGTGGTTCTTCATCTTTCAAACCCATCATTCGCCTCAACAGGGCGTATTCCTCTTTGGAAGGCATTACAGCCTGTACTGCGAATCTGCCAGCCTTATAAGTTTGCAGCATTTTGTACTGCAACCCCGCAGACGTGATGTAGGGATCATTCTGGATGAACACCACAAACTCATCGATCTTTTCTGCGGGAAAACCTTCGGATTCTGCAATCTGCTTCTTAATATGGTCAACAGGCTGAACTGCTGAAGCAGTCTGACTCGTCTGCATATCTCGCTGGGACATTGCTATCTCTCCTTGCTTTCGTGAAAATCGGCAACACAATGGGTATTTATTGCCGAAAACAAACGTAAATATGTATTTGCGTTTTAATTATTGCGAACGCCTAAAGACTCAATAACCTGAAACCAGGCCGATTCGTAAGCCGTCAGGGCACCGTGCCATTCTGTGAGTTCCCCTTGCCCCTGGCTCAAATCCCGGGCGAGAGTATCGACGGCTTGCTCGGCTGCTTCGACGCGCGCCATGGCTTCGGGGCGAATGGCATCAAAAGGCACAGGCGGCATCTCTGCCCTGAATGCGATCGGCAACCTTGAGCAAATCCCGACTTAAATCGGACAATAGAATTTCCCCAATTGAACTGCTATACTGACGTTGTGCTGCGCGTGCGCAGTTGTTCACCGCTTCCTGCTCGGTCTGAACCTCAATGCTTGCCATGATGACCTCCTGTCAACGAATTATATCTCATAAGCTCTATGCAAAAATACTAAACAAATGAACAGGTGTCAAGGAAAAATTTACAGTTTAATAGAAAACAATTAAACTGTATTAAAAAATAAAAATCAATGGGTTAACGCCAACCTTGTAACCATTGAAACTAACTATCACGCGATTCTGGGCAGCAGCCCACTCAAGTTGTTCACGGTCTGTTTTGCCTGTCATTTCAACATCATAGACGCTGAGGACATCATAACCGTGACTTCTCAATATTGGTGCTAATATTCGAAAAATATCTTCATCCAAATATAACTTTATGGCATCCATGCGCTATCTTGATATTTTGACCGGACAGCGTCTGCGGTATTTGCCTGGATGAGTTGATCAATTTCAGACTTGTGATCAAAAAGCATAAGATAGGGCATCTTGAACCTGTGCATGGGTCAAGTGAGGATATTGTGCGATAATTTCATCCACACTATATCCACGGCGGTCCCATTCTGCGATATGCCGCACGCCAATGCGTGTTCCTCGTATAATGGGTTCGCCTGAGAGGATATCTGGATTCTGTTCGATGTGGGGATACGCGATTTGGGGAATATCTATGCGAGCCATTTGAGTCTCCTGATCAACAACTGTTCCTATTTTCTCTTTTTTAAATATTCACGATTTGTCCTGTCCTGTCAAATGGGAAAATGGATCTCACTCATATCGCAGGGCGTGGACGGGATTGCGTTGTGCGACCCTTAGAGCTTTGAATGCCTATGGTGAGTAGGGCTGTTAAAAAGACGAGCAATCCGCCGAGCAGAAAGAGACCTGCGCCTGCATCAATGCGATAGGCGAAATCTCGCAACCAGTGCTCAACGCCATAATGGGCGATGGGCCATGCGATCAGATTTGCGATGAGAATCAGTACCACAAATTCTCTGGACAATAAGGCGACGATGTGATGGTTCGATGCGCCGAGTACTTTGCGGATGCCGATTTCTTTGGTGCGTCGGGTAATGGCGAGGGATGTGAGGCCCAGCACTCCGAGGCAGGCGAAAATGAACACAAAAAAGCCGCCGATAGATGATACCGGCGGCTTTTTTTATGCTGCTTGTTTACGCGAGACAAGTCGATTCTGAGTGTTTGTGAAGTACCGGACTCAGGTGCTCGGCATTGTCGTGTATGCGAGGCGCAAAATAGCGTTCATCACAGGTCGAACATATCGCAAGGGGTATATTGCGAATGGTTACAGCATGTTTCCCCTTGCCATACATGCGGTCGATTTTGTGGATGTGCGCGTTTTCGCTCCCGCAAATGTCGCAGTGCATAAAATGAATTTCTCCTCAGATTGTTGAAATTTAACAGCTATTTTGGCTGCGCCATTGAGATAACACGTTATAAGACGTTTTACATTGCCGCAAGTTCCGTATCGTTAAGAGTTTCTTGCAACTGGTGTCGCGCGCGATGAAGCCAGGTTTTAAGGGTGCCCATTGGCACGCCGAGTTCCCTGGCTATTTCTGCATAAGATCGATCCTGCACATAGCGCAATCGCACGGCATGGCGATATCGCCGCGGCAGTTCTGCGATACCTTCTTCAAGCATTTCGCGGCATTCTTTTCGAGACAACGCATCGTCGGGACGCTCTGTACTGGCTGGCTCCCACCTATCTCGATAACCGAGTTGTGTATCTTCAATGGTTTTATGCCACGATCTACGGGCTTGTTTGGATCGCATGTGCGTGGTACACACATTCAGGGCAATTTGCATCAGCCATGTTGAAAACGCGGCTTCCCCGCGGAATCCGGACAAACCGCGATAGGCGCGCAAGAAAGTCACTTGCATCAAATCTTCAGCATCGTGTCGATTTCTGGTTCGTCCAATCAGTGTGGCAAGAATCCGGGCGTGATGGCGTTTGTAAAGGCTGTTAAAAGCCCCGGCATCGCCATTTAACGTGCGACGCACCAGATCCCGCTCTTCTGCATACTGCATGGTTAGCATCCTCTGGTGAATGGTTATCAATTTACTTGTCAATGTCGTCGGGCATTGCGGTTATTTCCCACTCGGTAGGCTCCGCAAGCGAGACTTGAAAAATGTCGCGCAACCCCGTCAGGGCGTAAGAACCCGTGATGAGTGCAACGACGATGAGAAAGCAGAATCCGATATTTTTTTAGATTTTGCAATTCCTCTTTTCTGCGAAATACATCCTTCCACGTTTGCATCTGTTTTCTCCACAAGTTTATATTTCGTTTGCAGTTATCGGAAATTTGTCCTAAATTATGCGGAACACCGCATGTACTTGTTGGTGTGATCTGGGGTCCTCACGTCGTCCCGCCAAAGACTTGCGTGAGGGCCTTTCTATTTGTACTGACATCATATCAAGATCTCCTTTCTCTGGTGAAGGGATGAGAAATGGTAACAGCCTGATATTTTGTTTACAAATCGTTTGTTAAATAATCACACTACCTCCTTTCTTTCATAAAAAAGGGCCACCGCGTCTTGTTTTGCGCTGTGACCATAAAAAAAGCCATCCGGCGAGGATGGCAATGTCTTTTTGATGCATTCAACAAACCATATAGTCCTCTCCAGGCGCAATAAGAGCGCGTGCAATTTACATTGCGAGCTATCCTGGATAGGACGATTAAAGGCAACAATGGCGAGATTGAACACAAAAAGTTTCTCGTGTGAAAGTGTCACCACGGATGTCGTTCCAGGAGACTCAGCCCTGTGGTGCGGGTTTACGGATATACACGATGGATTCCCTGTTTGAGATTGGTGGATTGCAACAACAATGTTTAGCTTTGAAAAGATAGTTAGAGAACTCCGATACGTCAAGGAAGAAATCGGAATTTTTTGCAAATTTCATCTTCACTGTTACATATCTTTGGATGCACTTTAGAACGAAAAGTAAGAAAAAATTTACCCAGCGTCACATGAATAGACAGTGGAGGTTGTGAATGGGTTTCAGAAATTTTGATTTTTTTTGTGGTGGCACAAGTTTCAAGAGACATCTGGGCCTATGCGAATGGCGTGTGTTTTAATCAGGCAAATTACGGGATCGCCAATTTTTAAGGCCAATTCGCATATCGCTTCGGGCGTGACTTCAGCGGCGAGGCGTTTGCCCACGTCGATGTAAACGAGGCGTCGGCCATGCGTTTCGACGATGTCGAGAATCCGTCCCGATAGGGCATTGCGAATGCTTAGACCAGCGGGTCGCTGTCGGCACAAAATGATGTCGTTTGCCCGAATGCCTATAAAGATACGCGTGCCCGGTGCGCGATCACAGGGGGGGATATGGAGGGTCTGAGTGTTGTATTGCACGCGATTGGGTGCGATGACTTCAACGGGCAGGACGTTTTCAAAACCGTGCGCTTCGAGCAGGGGCAGAATTTGGGACTGTGTGACGCGATTTGTAGAAAAGAACTCTCCATGCGCGAAGTACGTGCGCGATGAGAGTACATGACTTGCCCGGGAGTTGCAGATATTCACAATGCGTGGCAGAACGTATGATAGAGCATGGGTATGCCCAAATTTGTGCGAATGTGGCGCAGATAGGGCATGATGCGGTCTTTGAGCTCCTGGTCGAGCGCGGTCAAGGGTTCATCCATGATGAGCAGTCTGGGAGAAGTCAGTATGGCTCGGCCCAGGGCGACGCGCTGGCGTTCGCCGCCTGAGAGGAGATTCGGAAGGCGGTCGAGCAGGGTGTTTAACTCGAGCAGATCGACAATAGCATTGGGATGAAATTTGCGTTCTGACGGCGCGAGAAATTGATACCCATACAGGAGATTTTGACGCACGGTCAGGTGTGGAAAAAGCAAATCGTCTTGAAATACATGGCCTATCCGCCGCTTTTCCGGCGGCAGGTCAATGCCTTTTTCAGCGTGAAAAAGAATGGTATCATCAATGCTAATTTGCCCGCTCTATCTGGTCGCATCAAGCCGCTTATGAGATTCAAGAGAGTGGTTTTGCCAGAGCCTGAAGGCCCAAATATCGCGGTGACGGGATAGGTACACGTCACATCGATTTCGAGGTTAAATTCGGCGAGTTGCCTGTGTACGCAAAGGGTGAGCATGATGTTTTAGTTCTTCATTTTGCGGGCGACGGCTTCACTGGCGATAAGCGCGCCCAGAGATAGGATGATAGAGAGTAAGACGAGGCGTGCGGCAGCAGATTCGCCATCGGTGTTTTGGGGGGGGGTTGATTACTTAAAAATGGCGAGCGGGTGGTGCGGTTTCGCGGTGGGGTTGGGGGTGGGTCTGGGGGTCAATATTGGAGACAAAGGTGATGGTGGCGCCAAATTCGCCAAGGCTGCGGGCAAATGTGAGGAGGGAGCCAACGAGCACGCCCGGTGCTGCCAGGCGCAGCGTTATAGAAAAAAAGGCGCGAAGTGTGAGGGGATAACATATAGGGGTTTAGTAGTGTCCGTGGCGTCTTATAACTTCTCATCCCTACACCCCCATAACCACGCTCTCCCCTCCTCTCCCCCCAGAGGGGTCAGGTTACATAGACAGAGCTGCGCTGGCGTGTCGAACCAACAATTTCGTGCTCGTTCGGTCTTTTTGGAGCTCCGTTTGACTGATTGATCGGATGATATTATACTTGTTTATTTGTGTTCGCCCCTCCCATTTTTTTTTTTTTAATTTTTGCCTTCGCTGCTCCGGACCGCTATTCCTTTCCTACCTAAGTCCGTTCACACTTCCGGGCGTGATGTCATGCTTACATTTTCTCTGTTCAGGTTAAGTGTATTCCTGTGGCCGCGTCTTTTGGCCGGCCCCTCGACGGGATACCAAACCTACAACTAACAAAACTTCCCTTAACCATAGTCACTGTGCACCTGCTCTTCGGTGCTATAACTTAATTTTCTTACCGGGAGGTGCGGTGGATTCCTCCTCGGGTTTGAACGTGGGCACTATACCAAGGGGAATGGGTGGAAAATCGTTCCCACCATGCGGGCGGTTTACCTGCACTTTGCCCTTCCCGTTTCTCCGTTTTGACACAGAAAAATGCACGTGTTTCCACGTACGTCTACGTCATCCACGGCGTTCTTGTGGTCCCTTTTGAAATACTTCCGCTCCCTCCCATGCTGCCACGCGCTTGGTGAAATATCACACCTTAAAAATACAATGGCGTGTCTTTGCATGCTTTTGTACTCCGCCATTGGCTCCTACTGGTGGCTGTTCCTCCCCGCAGATATCGGGCTGTCCTTAGTATTCTGTTTCCCTTTGGGTACGGACGTGGCCGTTTGCCCCCGCGGCCAAACCTTGGCATTTATGTCCCGCTGTGTAGCTTGGGGAAATACGTCGGCTCGGCTTATGCTGAGGTAGGGGGGAAATAACACATAGAATATTTTCAAACACCATACGCACCCGGCCCGCTCGACCGGCACACAAACGCACGATTAGTCCTCCCACCTTTGGGTACGGCCCACCAACTCGTATTAGGCCAGAGCGTGAGGTAACCAAAGACTCAGCCTGGGGCGCAGCCGCTATATGAGCATATATTTCGGCGCGCTCAAGGCGGGGGTCAACACTTTCTATGGCAAGACGAACAGCTCTTAACATGAGTGGAAAACCCACCACAGCAGCGGCCAATACAGCACCTCGCCAGGTAAATGCGATTTGCAAACCAAACCAGTCGCTCAAAATTTGACCCAGAAAACCTCGGCGTCCCAACAGCAGGAGGAGCAGATACCCAACAACCACAGGCGGCAACACAAGTGGCAAGTGACACAGACCGTCAAGGATGAGTTTACCGCGAAAGTTTTTGCGCGCCAGCACCCATCCCAACAATACGGCAAAGGGCAAGCTGATCACCACGCAGAGCACGCCCACTTTAAGCGATAGGACGAGAACAGTGTATTCTTCGGGGGTTGGGAATATCACGAGGCAAAGGTTTAATGCGAATGACGCGGGGTGTTGTCGCGTACATTCTGGTATTTGACTGCCAATTCCAGACACGCGCCATCGGCGAGTTGCCCCACACTTTGGCGATAGATTTCCTGCCAGGGCGTTTGGTGGGTCAGGTCGGGTTTGTTTCCAGTCTTTTTTCCGTTGCGCGAGTTCTCGATCGCTGATGAGGACATTGACCGTGCAGGTGTTGAGGTCGATGCGCACGCGGTCGCCCGTTTTGAGAAAGGCAAGCCCACCGCCCACTGTGGCTTCGGGTGAAGCGTTGAGTATGGATGGGCTGGCAGAGGTGCCACTTTGACGCCCATCGCCGATGCAGGGCAGTTCGGATATACCTGCCTGCACGAGGCGGTCGGGCGGAAGCATGTTGACGACTTCGGCTGAGCCGGGATAGCCCACGGGCTAGGCCGCATTAGCGCCGAGAGCATGAATTACGATCGATGGGCAAGCCGGGTCGTTGATGTGCTGATGCGGTGGTGATGCCAAATCTATCGGGGTGCCCGTCGAGACCACAGCCATGCCTTCCCAGGCATTTTTGTCGCCTTCGCGCTGGAGATATTTTTGGCGAAAGTCGTCGCTGATTACAGAGGTTTTGAGCAAGCCCGCTTCAAAGAGATTGCCGCTGAGTACAATGAATCCGGCGTTTTCTTTTAAGGGTTGATCATAAGGTTTGATGACGCGCTGGTCTTCAATGGCGATGCCTGTGAGATTTTCACCTATGGCTTTGCCGGTGACGGTCTGGCAGTGGGGTGGGAGTTTGTCTGCTTTGACGAGAAGTTCGCGCGGCCGGATGACAGCGCACGTCACCGCGCGGTGTAAAAAGGGCTTCGAAACCGAGTATCTCGCTGCGGGCTGGCAGTTGACGAGCAAGGGTATGTGGTGACCATGGGTTTGCCAGTCTTTTGCCGGCAGTTCCTGCCCAATGTGTCGCGCTATGGCGGTGATGTGAACCGGCGCATTGGTCGAACCGCCGAGCGCAGAGTTGACCACAATGGCGTTTTGGAAGGCTTCTGGCGTGAGGATTTTGTCGGGAGTGAGATCTTCTTTGACCATATCGACGATGCGCAGACCCGTGTGATAGGCCATTTGCTTGCGGGCGCGATAGGGGGCGGGGATAGCCGCACATCCGGTAAGCGATAATCCAAGTGCTTCGGCCAATGAGTTCATGGACAGGGCAGTTCCCATTGTGTTGCAGTGACCGACACTGGGCGAGGATGATGTGACGATATCCATGAAACCGTCGTAGTCGATTTCACCAGCCGCGTAGCGTTCGCGGGCTTCCCACACAACTGTGCCCGATCCGGCTAGACGCCCGCGCCAGTGCCCATCGAGCATGGGGCCGCCAGAGAGGACGATGGCGGGGAGATTCACGGTGCAGGCGGCCATGATGCAGGCGGGTGTGGTTTTGTCGCATCCGGTGGTGAGGACAACTCCATCAATGGGGTACCCGTGCAGGATTTCGACCAGCCCCAGGTATGCGAGGTTGCGGTCGAGGGCGGCCGTGGGCCGTTTGCCCTGTTCGGCAATGGGATGAACGGGAAATTCAAAGGGGATGCCGCCGTTGTCGCGAATACCGGCTTTGACGCGATCGACCAATTCGACGTGAATGCGGTTGCAAGGGGTGAGGTCGCCGCCCGTTTGCGCGATGCCAATAACGGGTTTGCCCGATTGGAGTTCTTCGCGCGTCCAGCCGTAGTTCATGTAGCGTTCGACATAAACGGCTGTCATGCCCATGTTGTGCGGGTTGTTGAACCACTCTTGACTGCGCAACTGACCTTTGACTTCAGAATAATCCTTCTGCATTGATGCTCCTTTTTGTTGTCAATCTGTTTGGGTCACGTATTCATACTCTTCAGTCGTCCCATCCTCGCTGGGAGCAATTTCCTCGTAAATACTCGCAAATTGCTCTAATGCTGCTTCCAGGTTTTCGGTAATCTCCGCGGCAATCACATCTGGTTCGGGAAGGTTTTCGGATTCTTCAAGGCTTTCATCTCGCAGCCAGAAAATGTCCAGGCTCACCTTATCCCGCTGCATCAACTCATCATACGCAAAGCACTTGAACCGCTCGGTTTCCTTGCGGTCATGCCGATTTTCAGGATTGTAGCACGCGATGAAATCCTGCAAGTCCTCAAAGCGCAATGGATTTTTCTTGAGCGTGAAGTGTTTGTTCGTCCTCAAATCGTAAATCCATAACTTCTCTGTCCAGGGATGCTCACTTGCCGGCTTGCGGTCAAAGAACAAGACATTGGCTTTCACGCCCTGTGCGTAAAAGATACCCGTGGGCAGGCGAAGCAGGGTATGTGCATCAACTTCCTGTAACAGTTTCTTGCGAACCGTCTCACCAGCACCCCCTTCAAAGAGTACATTGTCGGGTAGTACCACGGCTGCACTGCCGTTGATCTTGAGCAAGGTCTTGATGTGCTGCAAAAAGTTCAACTGCTTGTTGGAGGTGGTCGCCCAGAAGTCCTCGCGTTCATAGGTGAGAGATTCTTTGTCGGCTTTGCCTTCGTCGTTGACGATGGTGACACTGCTTTTCTTGCCAAAGGGCGGATTGGTGAGCACTATATCAAAGCGATTACCAGGATCGCTGATCAGACTGTCACCCACCGTGACCGGACTTTCCTCTCCGCCGATGCCGTGCAAGTAAAGATTCATCGCGCATAGTCTGACGACGCCATCTACAATGTCTGTGCCTGTGAACGTGTCGAAGCGGAGAAATCCTTTTGCTTTCGATCCAGCCTGTATTTCTCTGATAGATATTTGTGCGCGGCGAGAAAGAAACCGCCTGTGCCACAGGCTGGATCACAGATCGTCATATCGGGTTTTGGTCGCATCACCTCAACCATCGCCTTGATGAGGGGACGTGGGGTGAAATATTGGCCTGCGCCGCCTTTGACATCTTCGGCGTTTTTCTGTAAGAGTCCTTCATAAATTTCGCCTTTGACATCAATATCCATTCCCATCCAGGTTTCCCCATCAATGAGATAGATGATGCGCTTGAGCTTGGCCGGGTCCTGAATTTTGTTCTGAGATTTGCGAAAGATCACACCCAGCATCCCATCAGTTCTGGCAAGCTCAGTGAGGATGTGCCGGTAATGGTTTTCGAGAGCATCGCCGTCTTTTTCAATTAAGCTGGGCCAATCAAGCGCCTTGCCGTCTCTATCTAATGAGATGATAGATTTCCTGTTGTAGGGCGGCTTGGTCTGTTCGTCGGCCATCTTCAAAAAAAGTAAGTAGGTCAACTGCTCGACATAATCGCCATAACTAACGCCGTCATCGCGCAGGACATTGCAGTAATTCCACAATTTTTGCACAATTGACGCTGGATCGTTTAATCTTGAAAGTTCTGATGGCATTTTTGTAATTACTCTCCTGCGGTTGTAAGTGTTTGGTGATAAAGTCTTTGGCTAATTCGCGTACCATGGTCCCGAAGATTATCGAGTATGGGTTTGACATCGGGAATGATGTGGCGGGTTTTGGCAACAAGGAGAACACCGACTATACCGATAATGGGTAGGCCCCGTGTCATTGCCACCCGTCGTGCAGTGCGGTCATCAATTATTACTCGTTGTGCATCAATTTCTTCAGCAAGCACAATAGTTCCACATTCTCCCAAACCGAGTGGCGTGGTGTTGTGAAGTAACATGACCTGATCTTTGTCTGTTACCGCTTGGCGCGAAATCCACTGGGCCGCTGCCACTTCTGCCGCTCCCGGTTCATCAGCACCGTCAATGACCACTTCGGTGTACACTTCTTTTCGAATGATGATTGAGCCATATACATCCCGAAGGAGTTCCAATTGGCGGATTTTCGAGAGTCCAATTAGCGGAGTACTATTTGCGACAACCGTCATGATGTGGATTTCTCGAAATCTTTTAGTGCGTTATCAACTTCCGCCTGTAAAGTTTCTGCTGTCTGGCTTTCATCGAAGGCGGAAATCCCTGCATCAGCCATCAATTCCGAGAGTTTCCATCGGGAAACGTTGAGAAGTTCTGCCGCTTTTCCCGCGCTGATGTCCCCTTGTCGGAGAAGTTCAAGCACGAAGGCAGCTTTTGCCTTTTTTCTCGCTGCCGTTTGATGCTTTTTGGAGATGTTTTCAATCGGAAGGTGAAACTGCATTTTAAGTGTGGTTTTTCCCATTGTTCTATCCTTTTTTTATTTCATCTTCAATGCTCAAATAACACCAATTGCTTTTAAGAAAGCCCTGCAACATGGCAGTATCTGATAATGCACAGATTCCTTCGACTTGACGTTTGTCATGAAAAAAAGCACCGTAGATGACATGATTATCTCCATAGACTCCCATTGTCGCTATGCCATTCTCTGGTCGCCATTCAAATCCAAGGCTGCCATCTTCTGCCCAGCCAATGTCTGGCATGGGGACATTGTAATGAGAGAGCATCTTTAATAAGGAATGCGCGTCATCATATGCCGAATCCGGGATATGATCAATTTCGTTATCCAATGCCGATGCTTCCTCAGCCTCTTGGCGTATCTCCTCTAATTGTTGTAGTGCATCGTCATCTACCGGTGGTCGCACGAAATCAAGCTCCTTGTCCAGGGTTTCCATAATGTGTCACCTCTCCAAATGTGAGATACGTTTCCTTATTAAGTGTGGTAACGCTTGATTTTAACATAAGGTTTCACCAAATACAATGCTAATGCTCTGCCAGCACTATGCATCTTCAATGCTCAAATAACGCCAATTGCTTTTTGGTTTTGCTGTTGGTCTTCTGCACGGCTTCCCGTTTAGATTTCTCTTCTTTGATACGCTCAAGCAACTTTTTTGCTGGCTCATCATTGGGATCTTGTGGAACCAATTTGCCAGAGAACGCTTGCTTAAGGATAGATTGGCGGAGCGCATCAGAGCGTTTGAGTTCAGCGTCAACGGTCGCTTCGACTGCATCGGCAACAGAGAGGCGGCGTTCGGCTTCTGAAATGATTTGTTCCTGTTCCAAGTATGGTGGAAGTGGTACTGCTAAAGCTTGTAGTTTTGTGCCGTTCACATTGGCTTGTCCAACTTGCTGCGAGACAACCGAGGCGATCCATTGCCGACCATAAGCTGAATTGATGTAATAGGATATAAGGTCAGGAAAAATTCCTGATGTGACTTTCGCTCGAATCAGATAAGAAGCAAATGAACAAGGGGTAGGAAGCCCCTTGTAAACAGCGGTTTTACCTACAAGTTCGGCACTGTTCGTTCTGTTAAAGAGAATGTCCCCAATCTCAAGCAATAAATTCGGAAATTCTTTATGATCTTGTGGAAGATATTTAAGGTCATTGACGATCAATTTTCCGTCAAGAATATTTCCCATTCTAAAAACCGGAATGCCATTTTCATCTGCTGTGCATTTAGAAGATGAACCATACTGTACCTTATAGGATAATTGCTCTATCGTTACCCACACCCACCCATCCGGTAAATTGGGTAGTTTCGAGATATCCGGCCCGAGCGGTTCCTTGTATTTATTTTTCCATTTGTCATCTTTGGGTATCTTCCCCTTTGCACTCATCTGCTCAAGTTGCTCTGCTTCCCACTTCTCCCGCCGCTCTTTGAGTATCCGATCCAGTAATATAGACGCAGGTTCAATCTCGTTCCTATGCTCTTTTCGCCAGTCTTCCGTCAGCTTGCCGTCCATGGCTGTTTTCAAGACAGACTGACGATAGCGTTTCAATCGCGCTTTCGCCTGCAAGAGTTCTTCTTTGCCCGCATCGAGTTTGGTGAAAAGCTCTTCGATTTTGGCGACGATGCGATGTTGTTCGGGGAGTGGAGGTAGGGGAACAGGTATTTTTCGCATCATTGACTGATTGAGTTTTAGCCTTGTCGTGCCAGTCACATAATCACGATAATCATAAGTATTTAGATAATGGCGTAAAAGTTGATTTGATGTAATCTCGGTTCGGGACCTTAGAACATGAGCATGGTTATTGACCCAACTCTTATCTTTAATGAGATACGCTTTGTCTTTTGAAAAATCTAAAAATGGAGCACCATCTTCCCCTAGTAGAACCAGTTCGTCATCAAACAAGTAATCATCAATCCATCCAACCTGTCCAGTTGCCCCGTAGTACGGATATAGTTCTGAACTAGATTTACCGCGTATTCTTGCTTCCCGCTCTTTTGCATTTATCGGTACTCGTTGTCTATCTAAAATCTCAGTGCAATTTTCCAGCATCGTCCACACCCAACCCTCGGGCAGTGCAGACAAACCGACATCTGTTTCGCTCATGTCATATGTTCCTTTGATTCATTGATTTTTTTAAGATTGTATTGGTATTTCATCGGCAACAAACAGATGGGTTCGCCGCTGTCGAGTTATTTCAACTAAAATAGAATTTGACTCAATTTTATCCATCGTTTCTTGGCCAAAAACTTTTTGAGGCGTCTGTCTTACGCCACCAATTGCTCATTCAAGGTCTCAAGAATTGTATCCAGCGCATCGCCAAATAGCTGATAAGCCTTCACTGGCCCGCCCTTTTCGGCAAAAGGCACATATTCAAAATCATCCATACCAATCGACAAAGATGAGGCAATGTGATTTTTGATCATCTTTAGCCATTCTCGTTGCTCGGGTGTAAATACCTTTCCCGCCTGTTCCTGCTCGGTCAGCCATGAATCAAACCGTCGGGTTACGGTTTCAGGGAACGGTTCAAGGATCTCGACATCACCAATTGTAAAACGCACGAGGGAAATAATATCCGTGAGCAATTTGTGCGGGCTTGCGCCTCGAACTTTCGATTTTTCAAGTTGCTCGTAGGCTTTCCAGACTTGCTCGGGCGCGATGTGATAGGGTGGTTTCTCAATGGTTTCGGCAAGTTCGCGAATCTGGTCATAGGTCATGTGCCGCGTAGAGTGTGGCCTGTTGTAGATGATCTGTAAGGCCGTCAATTCATCCTTGTTGTCCTCAATAAACTGTTTGAAGGTATCTACAGTTGTCTTTGCTTTTTCCTTCGCTGCCTCATCAAAGCCAGCCAATATCAATTGGTCGGAACTGACCGTATCAATGACCTGTTCGCTTCGCTGGTGAAGCTCAATGAGCTTATTTCGCAGATTGGGATTGTCAAAAGGATCGCAGGCAATCGCCACTAATACCTCGCTGGCTTGCTCGATCTGTTCCTCATCAGGCTTGTCTGTCGAGAAAAGTTCTTTTGCTTTCTCGATCTTCTTATCTGGATCAACAGCATCCAGAAGGCGATGCGTCAGGTCCTTGATCGGGACACCTGAAATTTCGCTGATCTCTGCACGCTCGCCGTCGTTCAACTTTTGGTCCAGCTGCCCCAGCCTGCCTGCCAGCGTCGTAATGGTATCCTCATCTCTTTTCCCCAGGGCGATCTCAGAGAGTAGTTTTTCAAAGGGAATACTGCGTTTCCTCACCAGAGGCCGGGAATCGGTCTTGTCGTCCTCGCATACACCTATGGCATCGACAATTACGAAATGCGTCTTGTGGTTGGTATCTGGTGTCACTGCCTTGATATCCGTATCTGAAATCGTGCGTGTTCCACGGCCTTTCATTTGCTCGAAATACACCCGTGACTTGATTGAACGCATAAATAGTAAGCACTCAAGGGGACGGATGTCTGTGCCGGTGGAGATCATATCCACTGTTACCGCAACCCTGGGGTTATAGGAGTTGCGAAAACTTGTGATTAGATTTTCAGGGCTCTCGCCTGTGGTGCGATAGGTGATTTTCTTGCAAAACTCATTGCCTTTGCCAAATTCCTCTCGCACGATATGGACTATATCTTCTGCGTGCGAGTCATCTTTGGCAAAAATGAGTGTTTTGGGCACCTCGGTTCTGCCCGGAAAAATCTCAGTGAACAACCGGTCTTTGAATGTCTTGATCACCATTCTGATCTGGTCGGGAGCAACTACCTCTCGGTCGAGTTGCCGAGACTCATACTTCAGGTCCTCATCCAAACGTTCCCACCGCCGCGCTCGCGTCAACTTGTCGCGTCTGTCCACATGAAAACCAGCCTCGACCTTGCCGCCTTCCTCTGTAATCTGGGTTTTGATCCTATACACTTCATAGCCGACATTCACGCCATCCGCGACAGCGCGTTCATGACTGTATTCCGTCACCAGATTCTGGTCGAAAAATCCCAGGGTCTGCATGGAAGGCGTTGCTGTCAGACCTATCACAAAGGCGTCGAAATAATCCAGCACCGGGCGCCACACATTGTAAATTGAGCGGTGGCACTCGTCGGTGACGATGAAATCAAATGTCTCAATAGGAATACTCGGATTATAAATGACTTCCTTTTTGTTGCTCACGGTCGAAACGCTCCGGGGAAGTGTCGAACAAAGAACCTTCCTCATCTTCTGTGTGATATTCAGTCTCACCACTTAGCATCGAATACAAGCGCTGGATCGTCGTGATGCACACTTTATTAACTTTGTTGATCGTATTGGAGCGCAAGTGCTGGACATTGTATAATTCTGTAAATTTGCGACCGTCATCAGGGGTGCTATACTGCTGGAACTCCCGCGCTGTCTGACGGCCTAAATTACTTCGATCTACCAGAAACAAGACACGTTCGGCCCCGGCAAATTTGATCAGGCGATAGATAAAGGAGATGGCAGTATATGTCTTACCACTGCCTGAAGCCATCTGTATGAGTGCTTTTGGTCGGGCTTCCTTAAACGATTGATCCAGCCCTTCAATGGCCTCAATCTGGCAGTCCCTCAGAGGTGCTTGGATCAGCGGTGGGAAATTCAGTAGCCGCGCTCTAAGCGTTTCTTTCTCTTCCAGCCACTCCTGAAGGGTCTGAGGCCGGTGAAATTCAAATATCCGTCTGGAACGCGGATACGGATCGCGCTCGTCTCGAAAGAACGTCTCGACACCAGTAGTCTCATAGGCAAAAGGAAGTGGGTCTCCTGCATGTGGAAGATTTTCAGGAACTCCTGTTAGATATTTTTGGGATTGCTCTGCCACGCCGCTCAATGTCGTACCTTCAGGCTTTGCTTCTACCACACCAACGAGTTTCTCGGTTGACAAAAAGCGCGTAATCCGCCAGTCCAGATTTCAGTGAAAATTCTCGGATAGCTACTCCCGGAGAGGCACCAAGATCCAAATTCTCACGATCCTGGATACGCCAGCCTGCGGCTTCCAGTTGTCTGTCGATGTTCTTTCTGGCACTATCTTCAGGTTTCATATCCAATTCCTTCAAGCTCAATATCCAAAATATCCTGTAAAAAATACCTCGGTTTATCGACATACGCAAGGAACAAAGCACTCTGTATTATGGGACCCACTTCTATTGATTTACGGACTGATGCAGTTCCAAATGCTTTTTGACGCGAGTGACTGAGACTGTTATCTTTTGTCGCGAAATCCGATTGTTTTGTGTCCATATCCAAGAGGAGTATAGCATGCAGTTATCAGTGGATATCGAAGATAAGTTCGTATTTGACTTAGATGGCTATATTGTCATTGAGAATGTCTTGTCAGAGCGGGAGGTTGATGCATTGAATGCAATTGCCGATGAGAAGATGAAGAAGGCAGATGGCGATGAGGGATATCGCAATGTGGGACGGCCCTCAACGTGGGGAATGCCCTTTCAGCAATTGTTGGATCACTCGAAGATCATGCCTTATTTGCTGGCATTTTTAGGATCAAAGGTGCGCATTGATCACGATTACAGCATTTTTATGCAAAAAGGTGGACAGCGGGGGCGATTGCACGGGGGCGATAATGGGCGCGAGGGCGATCACTGGTATAAATACCGCGATGGTGTTATTCGAACCGGGTTGACGGTGGTAACCTTTTTTTCGACACCAGCACGCAAAGGCGACGGTGGGTTCTGTTGTATTCCCGGCACGCATAAGACCAATTTTTTAAACAGCATTCCACAGGATGTGCGGGAGTATAAACGGGTACCTCACTACGTGGTGCAGCCCGAAGTGAACGCGGGGGATGCGTTGATTTTTACAGAGGCGTTGGTCCACGGAACTATGCCGTGGACAGCTGATCACGAGCGGCGTGCCTTTCTGTATAAATACAGCCCCGGGCATTCATCGTGGGCAAATACGTATTACAATGTCGATGATTATGAAAATTTGACGGCACAACAGGTTCGCTTAATGGCACCACCGTCAATAGGTCGGCGGCTCGATACTGTGCAGTTGGAAGATACTGCGTAAACGCGGGCAGAGCCTGATTTCATGACACATCGGGCTTGACATCCCAAACTATCTTTTGTTAATTAAAATACGTTTGCGAAACTTCCAGTCCTTCTTTTAAATATTAAAAAATAGGTCGGCCGTTCTGTGCGGTATTATTGCGAAATTGGGCGATTAGCTCAGTTGGTTAGAGTGCCGGTTTCACATACCGGAGGTCACTGGTTCAAATCCAGTATCGCCCACCATTACACTACCTCTGATCAAGAGGTTCAAGCTGCAGCAAAAACGGCTATAGAAAGGTGCACCTGTTCAGGGTAGCACCTTTTCTTTTTTTACGATCACAAGGAGACTCGCGCATGAGAGATAGTTTGGTTAATTTGCTGAAACTTCAAGAAATCGACAAAGAAATCAACGCATTGCACCAATCTCAAATCGATTACCCCGAAGAAATCAACGGTCTGAACAGTGAACTGCAAGATGCACGCGATCAACTCGACGCCCAACAACAGCGCAGTGAAGAACTCGAAAAAAATCGCCGGGCACTCGAAAGAGAACTCGGCGCAATTGAGGAAGACCTAAAAAAATCAAGACCGTCTCTATGAAGTAAAGACCAACAAAGAATACGACGCCTTGCAAATCGAAATCGCCGTCCTTCACGATCGCAAGGACCAACACGAGACCGCCATTCTGGAAAGCATCGACACTGTTGAAAAAATTGTGGAAAAACTCCGCGAAGACGAAAATTACTACCGGGAAATTGAAGAAGACCGGCAGAAACGCATTGACGGTTTGACGGTCAAACTCAATTCCGTAGAAAAAAATGTGCGTTCCTGGAAAAGGAAACGATCAGCCATTGAATCCGGTGTGGAACACAGGCCTTTAAACATGTACAATCGCATCCGCAGAGTTGTCAGGGGGGGGGTGGCTATTGTTCCGGTTCACAAAGGGTCTTGCGGCGGCTGTTACCGCCAATTATCCCCTCAACGCCTGGTGGAAGTCAGACGCGCCGATAGTATCATGCGCTGCGAAAATTGTGGTCGCCTTCTGGTGTGGAGTGAAGAAGAGGCTGCGGTTTGACCGAATTGACCCTATTTATCGACGGAGCATCCAAGGGCAATCCCGGGCATGCAGGTATTGGCATTCGCATTGAAGCAGACGGAGAGTTTCTCACAGAACACTGTGAATATATCGGCTGCACGACCAATAATGTCGCAGAGTATCGCGCGTTGATTAAGGGCCTTGAAATAGCCGCACAGTTCAAGGCCAATCGGGTGGCAGTATTTTCCGACAGTGAACTCGTGGTTCGCCAAATGAATGGGACATATAAAGTCAAAAGCGGGGGGCTTTTACCGCTTTATCAAACCGCCCAAACGCAGAGTAGAACTTTTGACGGCTTTCAGATCAAACACGTGCACCGAAAAAAAAATAAAGAAGCTGACCGATTGGCAAATTTGGGCATTGTGGAAAAAGATAGTGCCAACACAACTACAAAATAAAAATATTACAAGCGGGCTGGGTGGCCGCGTCCCTTTTGGGATGAGGAAAGTCCGAGCTCCACAGGGCAAAATGCTGGGTAACACCCAGGCGGGGCGACCCGATGGAAAGTGCCACAGAGAACAGACCGCCAGCGGGCGCGATGATTCGCGCAGCGGGCAAGGGTGAAACGGTGGGGTAAGAGCCCACCGCGCGACTCGGCGACGAGCGCGGCACGGTAAACCCCATTTGGAGCAAGGCCGAATAGGAGCGGAGAGACGGCCCGTCTCGCTATTACGTTCGGGTAGGCTGCAAGAGGCGTCGGGTAACCGGCGTCCCAGATAAATGGCCATCCGTTTGGGAAACCAAACGACAGAACTCGGCTTACAGGCCCGCTTGTTTAAAAACGGCGGATTCCCACAAGGGGTCCGCCATTTCCTTAATGGAGAGATTGAATGTCTTTTTTCGAAAAATACAGCGATACAGTGCAACGCAACAATAGTTTTGTGTGTGTGGGACTCGATCCCGATCCGGCAAAGCTGCCCGAACATCTCAAAGGGAAATCCGATCCCACGCTCGCTTTTCTCAGGGAAATTATAGATGCTACACGGGATATCGCCTGCGCCTATAAACCCAATTTTGCATTTTTTGGCGCGCAGGGCATAGCGGGTTGGGAGGCCTTGCAAGGCGCAATCCAGGCCATTCCCAACGGCATGCCAATTATACTCGATTTCAAAGCTGGCGACATTGGCAACACAGCAGAACAATATGCATACATGGCATATTGCCAACTCGGCGTTGATGCAGTGACCGTCAATCCCCTGATGGGAACAGATGCTATTGGCCCTTTTTTCGCCTATCAAAACGGCTGTGCCTTCCTCTTGTGCCTCACATCTAACCCCGGATCGGCTGACATATTGCGCCTTAATACAGACCAGGGCGTGTTGTATGAGGTGCTCGCGCACAAAGCCGTGGAATGGTCACAAACAGGACCCTGTGGTCTCGTTGTGGGCGCGACACATCCCAACGACTTAAAAACCATTCGCGCGATTGCCACCGACCTTCCCATTCTTCTGCCCGGCGTGGGGGTGCAAGGCGGTCAGACCAATGCAATTGTTCAGAATGGCCTCAATAAAAAAGGCAGCGGTATTCTCATCAATTCATCGCGTAGCATTCTCTACGCTTCCAGTGGTACCGACTTTGCAGAGGCCGCTCGGCAATCTGCGGAAGATCTGCGTCAGGTGCTTAATAGCGCGAGGGGTGGTAAAAGGTAAGACGTAAGAGGAACTGATTCACCATGCCACTTATTCAACTCGAAGATATCTGGAAATCCTTTGGCGCATACGATGTGCTCACCAGTATTCATTGGCAAATTGATCCTGGTGATCGCATCGGGCTTGTCGGTCCCAACGGGTGTGGCAAGACCACGTTGCTTCGGATCATAACCGGAGAAAGCCCGCTTGACCGTGGGCGATTGCACAGACAGCGCGACCTCAATATTGGATTTTTGACACAGGAACCCATTTTTGATCCAGATCTTACAGTCATGGACGCGGCACTCGATGCTTTTGCCGATATCCTGGTACTGCAACACCGCCTCCACGATCTGGAAAAAATCATGGCTGAGGGGGAAAATTCCGATGCTGTACTCAATGACTACGGGCATCTCCGCGACCGGTATGAGCACATGGGAGGATATGCGACAGAAGCTCGTGCCAAAGCCATTCTCTTTGGCCTCGGTTTCTGTGAGACCGATCTGAAATTGCCAACGCAAGTGCTCAGTGGCGGGCAGAAAAATCGCCTGGCTCTTGCCCAATTGCTCGCACGAGAACCCGATCTGCTGCTCCTGGACGAACCCACCAACCACCTCGATCTACAGGCTATAGAATGGCTCGAGTACTTTCTCTCAAATTATGCCAAAGCCTTTGTCATCATTTCTCATGACCGCACCTTGTTCGAACGCACTGTGACCAAAATTGTAGATCTGGAGCGCGGCGTGATCGAACAGTATTCGGGTAATTATTCCTTTTATATCCAGGAAAAAGAATTGCGCCGCGCACAGCAGCAAAAAGCCTATCGTGCACAGCAGGCGCATATCGAGCGAACCGAAGAGTATATTCGTCGAAATATAGCCGGACAAAAGACCAAACAGGCGCAGAGCCGACGCAGAGCACTCGAAAAACTCGACCGCGTAGAACGCGTTGTGCAACAACGCGATATCGCGCTCAGATTTAACACCACTACACGGGGAGGTGATCGCGTCTTACAGGTTGAGAATCTCACCAAAGCCTATCCTAACCGTCCTCTATTTTCCGATCTCAACCTTACGTTGTGGCAGGGCGAGCGCCTTGGCATTATAGGTCCTAATGGTTCGGGCAAATCTGTACTTTTAAAAATTTTTACGGAACAACTCGCACCCGATTCGGGGCGGGTTATCCCGGGCAAAGGTCTTGAGATCGGTTATTACGCGCAAACCCGTCAGGACCTGAACCCCAATTTGAGTGTCCTCGAAGAAATCTGGTCGCTCACCCCCCGTGTGCCAGAAGTTGAGATTAGGAACTTTCTGGGTGCTTTTCTCTTTTCTGGGGACGATGTGGAGCGCAAGACGGGTTTGCTCAGCGGGGGAGAACAAAGTCGCGTTGCTCTGGCCAAACTCATGCGCGCGCCCCTCAATCTGCTGGTGCTCGACGAACCTACCAACCATCTGGATATCGCCTCTCGCCATGTACTCGAAAGCGCACTTGAGGATTTTTATGGCACTGTGATCGCGGTTTCACATGACCGGTATTTTCTCAACCGCCTGGTCAATCGCCTGATCGTGCTTGGCGATGGCAAGTGGCAACTCATAGACGGTAATTACGACACTTATCAGCGACAAATTGCGGAAATACCGACTATCCAGAATACACCCAAGACACAAACCGACTACAAAAGCCAGAAGCGCGTAATGCGGCAGCAGCAAAGACGAGAACGCCGCTTAGCCCAAATAGAAGAAGCCATTGCAACACTCGAGAGCCAGACCGATCAGATAGCTGAAGAAATGGCGCGAGAAGACTTTGCCACCGACTGGCATCGCCTGAAAGAAATGGCGCGCGAAAAGGAAAAGGTGCAAAAGAAAATGGATCGGTTATTTGAGGAATGGGAAGTTTTGGAAAGAGAAAAATGAGAGGTGTGTGGACATACGTCTCTGAAAATTTTTATAAAACAAAAACTCGGCCTTTAGCGTGATGCCGAGTTTTTTTATAAAACCAGGCGAGTTGGTGCTACAAATCCTCGCGTTTTGCAAACATTGCCATCAATTCGGCTTGTGCGGCGACTTTGCCATCTACTGTGGCTTCGCCAACCCCTTTGCAAATATTGCGGCGTTTTTGGCCTACTTCAACTTTTAGCTGGAGTTGATCGCCGGGCACAACTTGCCTTCGGAAGCGCGCCTTGTCAATGCCCATAAACAGTGGGATCAAATCGCTTTCCTGCCCATCGCTCATCAAAATTGCAGCGGCCTGAGCCAGTGCTTCGATAATGAGCACCCCCGGCATTACGGGATTGCCGGGAAAATGGCCCTGGAAAAACGGTTCATTAGCCGACACATTTTTGTACGCGACCAACCGTTCGCCAGGCACCAACTCGGTTACGCGATCTACGAGAAGAAAAGGATAACGATGCGGAAGAATTTTTTCAATATCCTTAATATCCAGAGTCACGGCATCCTCCAATATTCACATTAAAAAGTCTCCGATTACCCCGCGGAGTAAATCAGAGACTTAGAATAAAAAAGAACAGGTATAGATGATCTGCTATGGCCCCTCGGTTTTCGCTTTGGCCTCGAGATCTTTGGCCAGTGCTTCGAGGACCTTATCGGTCAAATCGTGTGTCTCTTTCGCATAGGCCAGAGCCGTGGAATTGAGCACAAAATCAAAGCCTTCGTCCTCTGCCACTTGTTTGATAATCGCATTCACTGTTTGAATAATGGGTTCGGACAATTCCGCGGTTTTGCGTGCGAGACGGCCTTGCGGAGAGGTGGCATCTTGCACAAATCGCTGCAATTCCTGCTGTTTTTTCAGAATGGCCTGTTGCTCTTCTTGTTTGCGTTTTTCACTCAAAAGCAGAGATTGGCGTTCGTAGGTATCCTGCATCTTGGCCAGATCGTTTTGCATGGTACTCATCTCGCGCTGAATTTCGTCTTCGTAACGGTTAAACTCCCTCAAAGCATCCTGATAGGGCTTGTACTGATCCAAAATTTTCTGCGAATCAATATACCCCATCTTTAGCTCCGCGCCAGCAGTACTGGCTATTCCAGCCAGTACCAGAGATAGCGCGACATAAAGTAAGCGACAGCGTGTCATCAAAAATTCCCTCCGTGAATAAAGCTTTCAGCTTTCAGCTTTTAGTCCCCTTCCCAGCTATGGGTATGAGAGAAACTCAATGGCTGATAGCTGCACCTGACCGCTAATAAAATTGCGACCAAATTGGAAATGCGTCATCATCTGTACGGACTCGCCATCGACATGCCGACGATCAAATCCCCATGCAAAATCAAATCCCATAATACCCACCACAGGCGCCACAATCCGAATGCCAAAACCGGCCGAACGACGCATATCCGTCAGGCTGATCCGATCCAGACTTCCCCAGGCATTGCCCGCATCGGCAAAAATGAGGCCATAAAACTGATTGGGCACAATAGGAATGCTGATTTCTGCGTTAAATAACAACTGCGCGACGCCCCCAAGTTGTCCCCCTCTGTTTTGTGGTCCCACTGAGCGGTCGGGATAACCGCGCAACATGGTGCCTTCAAAAATATCGACGCCGCCCGGCTGATACAACTCCTGGTAAGGAACGCTCTCGGGGCCATAACTGGCGACAAATCCCAATTGCGACCGCACATTTAAGGCCAATCGCCAGAATATGGGAAAGTAAAAACTCGTGACAATATCGTGCTTGTGAAAATCTCTATTACCGCTCAAAAATCCACCGGCCAATGCGGGCGAATAGGAAATTACGCCTCCAGAAGTGGGAAAAATCGGCAAATTACGGCTGTCGCGGGTCAAGTTCGCGCTGATGCTGCTGGTTACATTGTCCTCGTAAAAGGGATTGCTTACATCTGTACTATCAGGATCAGAAAAATTGATAAAGGCAACCTTCTCGAGGCGATAGCCGCCGGAAATGCGCGAATAATCGGGCCAGCGCAATCTGCGTCCGAGGCGAAATGCGCCGCCCTCTGTGCGCTGATCAAAGTCGGCCACGCCGTAATTTGTCAGTCGCAAAGTGCTTCTGAACAGCGACGAGGAGATACTCGTGGGAGTGTTGCGGAACCACGGTTCAGTAAACCCAATACTAAAGGTTTCGCGGCGCGAGCCAAACTCCCACTGGAAATCGAGCTGTTGTCCATTGCCTCTAAAATTGGGAATTTGCAACCCAATCGTACCAATCAGTTTGTCGCGTTCGCTATACCCCGCCCCGATAGACGCCGTGCCCGTTGACTTTTCTTCTATGGTGAATTCGAGATCAATCTCTGAGGTCTCTTCTACGGCAATAGGCTCGGGCAACACATTGGTAAAAAAGTTGAGTTGCATGACCTCGCGCACACTGCGCTCCAAAAGTGCGCGGCTAAACGTATCGCCCGGTCGCACGCGCAACTCGCGTCGAATTACGCGGTCTTTGGTTTTGGTATTGCCCGTAATCAAAATTCTGCGAATTGTCCACGGATCTTTTTCGATCGCGTCAAAATGCACATCGACGATATGACCTTCAATGGGTTTTTGTTGCGGAAAAATCTGCGCGCCAATATGACCGATGTCCATATAGGCATTTTGCAACTGCTCCCGCGATTTTAAGACGCGCTCTTCGTTGTAAACAGCGCCCGAATCGACCACAATAAAGTGAGAAAAACCCGCATCTATAATTTTCTCATTGCCCCGACCAACTCACAGCACCAAAGCGATAAAGCGGCCCTTCTTCGATAGTGATATCGAGATACATATTTTTTTTCGTGGGTCCATAGGACAAACTATCGGATACAATTGCCGCTTCCCGATATCCGTTTTGTCGATAAAAGGCCAAGACCAATTCTTTATCGTCGGGATAAGTTTCCTCGCTGTATTTACCTCCGCCAAACCACCAGCCGTCTCGTTTGGTCTCTTTCATCTGTTTGCGCAGTTGCTTCCCGGTCAATGCCGTATTGCCGTGAAAACGAATTTGTTTCAAACTGACCTTTTCTCCCTCGTGAATTTCAAAGGTCAATGGCAATCGCCCCTCTTCATCAACCGCCTCTTCTTTGACCTCCACTGAGGCGAGCAAATAGCCTTTTTTGCGATAGAGCGCGACCAACTTGTTGACCGCTCTTTTTTTTTCTCGCAGCCGTATCAACTGGCCTTCAATCAATTCCGCCTCGCGCTTCAGCGTCTTGTCCTTCATTGCGCGATTGCCCTGAAAAACCATCTCACCCAAACGCGGCACGGCTTTCAGATCAATAATAACAGCTACGCCACCTGGCACTTTTTCCAGAGAGATTTTGATGTCAGAAAAAAGACCGCTTTTGTAAAGATTGCGAATCACCCGCGCGGCTTCACCTTCCACCAGATTTTGCCCTTTTAAATAAACCGCTCTGAGACTCGATAAAAGAAGCCTCGACCCAATCATTGCCCTGAATGCGGATTTCCTGAATTACTGGACCTTCTTGGGCATCCGTGTGACCGCCCAATAGTACCATAATGACCAGAAAACTGTACGTGCAAAATTTTTTCACGTTGCAAAATACCTATCTAAAAACAGACATGCGTTCCTTTTTTCGGATTTGTAAGCCTCAAACGCCCAACAAAGAAAAATGTTCCGACTGTACGGCAAACAGCCCGGACTGCTGCCCGGGCCGTTTGGGTATTGACCGCGCCTTCACGATCATGCTTTGTCCCTGTTCACCACTTCCTCTTCGCCGACAGGATCTCCCGGTTTGTCTCGGTCCTCAACTTTTTTATCGCCCTCTCCGTTCTCATCGGCGAAGTTGAGCGTGTTGCCTTTTTTACTCATCTGAACCTCGGCCGTATCTTCCGATTCTTCTTTGGTGATAAGCTCCCCCTCAAAGTTGAGGGTGTCGCCTTTTTTGCTCACCCGAACCGTGTAGCCATCCACAAAATGGCCCATAATGATCTCTTCAGCCAGGGGATCTTCTATCATCTTTTGAATGGCGCGTCGCAGATGCCGCGCGCCATACGTCGGATCATAGCCCTTCTCGGCGATCAAACTCTTAGCCCCCTGTGTGAGGCGTACTTCGATATCGCGTTCTGCAACGCGAGCGAGAATTTTTTCAAGCTCGATATCGACAATCTGAATAATTTCCTTTCGATCCAGCGGATTGAAAATCACTGTTTCATCCAGACGGTTGATAAATTCGGGATTAAATGTCTTTTTGACCTCTTCGTTGATGCGCTCTTCCATTTTTTTTCGGATCGATTTTTTGTCTGACCGGCCAAATCCCAAACCACCTGCCTTTTGCAGATCTCGGGTTCCCAGATTGGATGTCATAATCAAAATGGTATTTTTGAAATTTACCTTGCGCCCAAAGCTATCTGTCAAACGCCCTTCATCCAACACCTGCAACAGGATATTGAACACATCGGGATGGGCTTTTTCAATTTCATCGAGCAAAATCACTGAATAGGGACGCCGGCGCACTTTCTCCGTTAGCTGTCCACCCTCATCGTATCCCACATAACCAGGCGGTGCACCAACGAGCCGAGATACCGCGAATTTTTCCATATATTCCGACATATCTACAGTTACGAGTGCGTCATCATCATCAAACAGATACTGCGCCAGTGCTTGCGCCAAATACGTTTTGCCGATACCCGTGGGGCCGAGGAACAAAAACGTACCGATTGGACGGTTGGGGTCTTTAAGACCCGCGCGCGTGCGTCGAATGGAGCGACACACTGTAGAAACGGCTTCCTCTTGACCGATCACCCCGCTTTTGCAACTCTGACGCCATGTTGATCAGCCTTTCGGATTCGGCCTGTGCCAGACGAAACACGGGAATGCCCGTCATGCTCGAAATCACTTCGGCAATGTGTTCTTCTGTCACTTCGACCACATCGTCTGTCACCTGTACTTCCCACGCCTGGCGCATATTTTCGAGTTCGTTTTTAAGTTCTCTCTCGCGGTCGCGCAGGCTGGCCGCCTCTTCAAATTGCTGATTTTCGGCAGCTTTATCTTTTTGTCGCGTGATCTCGCCGATAGCCATCTCGAGTTCTTTGATCTCTTCGGGCGGGTTGAGTCGGGACAACCGCACTCGCGCTCCCGTTTCATCGATCACATCGATGGCCTTGTCGGGCAAGTGGCGGTCGCTGATATAGCGATCGGCCATTCGCGCTGAAGCTTCGACAGCTTCGGGCGAAAACGACACTTTGTGATGTGTTTCATAACTGTCTTTTAGGCCCTTGAGAATTTCAATGGTTTCATCCACCGAAGGGGCATCGACCACAATTGTTTGGAACCGCCGCTCGAGTGCGCCATCCTTTTTCAATATATTTTCTATATTCGTCTAAGGTCGTTGCACCAATGCACTGCAATTCGCCGCGTGAAAGTGAAGGCTTAAACATATTGGACGCATCCAGCGTGCCCTCGGCACTGCCGGCACCGACAATGGTGTGCAACTCATCGATAAAAATGATCACACTCTGGCTTTGTTGAAGTTCATTCATCACGGCTTTCAGGCGCTCCTCAAATTGCCCGCGGTATTTTGTGCCGGCGACAATGCCGCCCATATCGAGCGTGACCACGCGCTTGTCCAACAAAATTTGTGGGACCCGCCGATCCACAATGCGTTGTGCCAATCCCTCAATGATCTGTGTTTTACCCACGCCGGGTTCGCCCACAAGCACCGGGTTATTCTTTTTGCGTCTGGCAAGCACCTGTGACACCCGTTCGATTTCGCGATCGCGACCAATGGTTGGATCCAATTTGCCCTGCCGCGCCAGATCGGTTAAATCGCGCCCGAAATGATCGAGGAAAGGCGTTTTGCTCTTTCTTTTCTCGCGCCTACCCGAAGATTTTCCTTGCAAAACGGCAATCACCTCCTCTTTGGCGGTTTTGTGATCTACGCCAAACGTGACCAAAATCTGTGCGGCAACCCCGTCTTTATCTTTCAACAGTGCCAACAGCAGATGGCTGGTTCTCACGACTCGGCTCTTCATTTCTTTCGCTTCATTGGCAGCAATTTCGAGAATCTGTTTTGCCCGGGGCGTAAAAGGCACTTCACCCATCGTCATTGAACTGCCAGAAGAAGCGACAAAATCGTCGATGGATTGCTTGATACTCTCGAGATTTAAGTTCAGATTTGTCAGCACCTGAACGGCCGTACTTTTGCCCCCACGTATGATACCCAGTAGCAAATGCTCGGTGCCGATGTAATTGTGTCCCAGGCGCGCGGCTTCTTCGCGAGCGAGTTGCATAACCTGCTTCACCTGGTCTGAAAACATACTGTTCATCGAATACTCCTCTCGCCTGACCACTTGAGAAATTTGGCGAAGCGCGATTTTGATTCCCATTATAACAGTTTATAAAGGAAAACTCAACACTGTTTCTTTTGCACCCACACGCTTTGTTCTTCAAGCGACGAGACGACCATCTTCCATCTCGACCACCCGATCAGCGCGAGCGGCCAAATGCTGGTCGTGCGTTACAATAATACACGTTTGGTTCCGGGTTCTGGCAAGTTGCCAAATTAATGCGTGAAGTTCTGCACTGCGCGCCACATCGAGATTTCCAGAAGGTTCATCGGCCAAAACAACGGTGGGTTGTGTCACCAATGCCCGCGCAACAGCAACGCGCTGCGCTTCTCCGCCAGAAAGTTCAGAAGGCAAATGTGCAAGCCGCTTTCCCAGACCCACATCGCGGAGCAGTTGTTGTGCAGGCACACGCGCTTCATCGGGCGAAACCCCGGCAATCATCAGGGGCATCATCACATTTTCAAGCGCGGTAAAATCGCGCAATAAGTGGTGAAACTGAAATACAAAGCCAATCTGGCGGTTGCGAAATTTGGCGCGATCGGCATCTGAAAGGGCAAATATATCGACGCCATCGATGACGACTGTCCCCGAAGCCGGATGGTCTAATCCACCCATAATATGCAACAAAGTACTTTTTCCAACACCCGAAGCACCAACAACTGCCACAATTTCGCCGCGAACAACCCCGAAGTCAACCCCTTTGAGCACCTCAATATGGGTACCCCCCAACACATAGTGCTTGCAAACATCCGTTGCGCGAAGCAACTCATCCATGGTCGTCAAGGCCCTCTTTAGGGCGCATGTGAGGAAATAGAATTGCGTCTCGAATGGAAGGCGCGTCTGCGAGCAACATCACCAGCCGATCTACACCAATGCCCAACCCCCCCGTCGGCGGCATTCCGTGTTCCAGGGCAAGCAAAAAATCTTCATCGAGCATCTGAGCTTCATCGTCACCCCGATCGCGCAAAGTTTTTTGATGCGCGAACCGCTGCCGCTGGTCAATTGGATCATTCAGTTCCGAAAACGCATTGCCCGCTTCCCAACCATTGATAAAAATTTCAAACCGCTCGGTGAGGTCTTTTTGGGTCCGATGGCGTTTGGCCAAGGGGGACACCGCAATGGGATAGTCGGTAATAAAGGTTGGCTGAATCAATTCAGGTTCAACACACGCTTCGAACAACTCGTTGATCAACAACCCGCGCTCTGCACTTGGCTCAATATCGGAACCAAAACGCTTGCACGCCGCATGCAGGTCGGCATCTGAGGAACACGCCACATCAATATTCCCGTATTTTTCGATGGCGTCGAGCATGGGAATGCGCGGCCAAGGGGGCGTAAGATCAATTTCTCGCTTCTGGTACTCAAGCGTTGTTGCGCCATTCACCTTTTCGGCGACAAAGGCATACAGGGCCTCGGCTATCGCCATCATATCTGAATAATCTGCATAAGCCTGATACAATTCGAGCATCGAAAACTCGGATTATGAGTTCGGTCGATGCCCTCATTGCGAAAATTTTTGCCGATTTCATATACCCGTTCAAGCCCGCCCACGATCAAACGCTTGAGATACAACTCATCGGATATCCGCAAATACAGCGGCATATCCAAAACATTGTGATGCGTCACAAAAGCACGGGCCGAAGCCCCGCCGTAGAGCGGTTGTAACACCGGTGTTTCGACTTCTAAAAATCCGCGGGCATCTAAAAATTCGCGCATCGCAGATACAACAGCACTGCGTTTGCGAAATACCGCCTGTACATCGGGATTGAGGGCCAGGTCCAGATAACGACGGCGATATCTCAGTTCTTTGTCGCTAAATTGATCGTGTACAACGCGCTCACCACCGCGTATCTCTTCTTTTGGAACAGGCAGCGGACGAATTGCCTTGGTCAACAACGCGAGTGTTTGGACCCGAACGGATATTTGCCCCGTGCGCGTCTTAAAAACTCGACCAGATACGCCGATAAAATCACCGATATCCAGCAATTTCCACAGCGCGAAAGCATCGTCGCCAATATTGTCGAGCCGCACATAAATTTGAAGGCGGCCCTTGGCATCCCGCAAATCGGCAAAGGCCGCTTTTCCATGACCGCGTGTAACAATCAACCGACCGGCAACCCGCACCTCTTCGCCCGATGCGTTCAGCGTGTCAAAAGACGCGATGACATCCACAGAATAGTGCGTGGGTTCAAAGCGATATGGATAAGGCTCAATGCCCAAATCCCGAATGGCATCGAGTTTTTGCAGGCGCTGTTCGATCACTGGTGTTTGTCCCACAACCCGAGTCAAGATTGGAGCCCCCCAACCTCTCTAATATCTATATAAGATTAAACGTTGTAAAGGTTGTTAAACTATAACCAATATAGATATTCAAGTCAAGCGCGTTGCCCGCCTATGAGTACCTGTTAAAACTCGGTTCACGCGGATCGAGACGAAAATAAAAATGCACGGATAAACGGATCGAGGTCGCCGTCCATAACCCCCGAAACATCCGATGTCTCAAAGCCCGTTCGCGCGTCTTTCACCATCTGATAGGGCTGAAAAACGTAATTGCGGATTTGACTGCCCCATTCAATGCGTTTTTTTGTGCTTTCGAGTACGGCGCGTTTTTTGTCTTCTTCTTCCCGCATGTGTTGATACAAACGCGCTTTGAGAATTTTCATGGCCGTATTGCGATTTTTGTGCTGAGAGCGTTCGTTCTGGCATTGCACCACAATCCCAGTGGGCTCGTGGGTAATGCGCACCGCAGAATCGGTTTTGTTCACGTGTTGTCCGCCAGCACCTCCAGCGCGATAGGTATCTACTTTCAAATCATTGGGATTAATCTCTATCTCGATATCGCCTTCGACGTCGGGATAGACAAAAATGGATGCAAACGATGTGTGGCGGCGATTGTTGGAATCATAAGGCGAAATTCGCACCAGCCTATGTACGCCAGATTCAGGCTTGAGATAGCCAAAAGCGTAATCTCCCGTCACTTCAATCGTCGCACTCTTAATCCCGGCTGTTTCGCCGGGAAGCATATCCAGGACATTGGTGTGAAATCCACGCCGCTCAGCCCATCGCATGTACATACGCATCAACATTTGCGCCCAGTCTGCCGCTTCGGTCCCTCCAGCACCCGGATGAATGGTCAAAATCGCGTCGTTGCGATCTTCTCGATTGCCCAACATGTGCTGCAATTCAAGTGCGTCTAAAGCAGCACCAATCTCGGGCAATTCGGCGGCGACTTCCGACAGGGATTCGGCATCGCCTTCTTCGCAGGCCAGTTGAAAAAGCACGTCCAAGTCGCCCGCTTGAGCATCTAAATTCCCCCCAATTTTCAACCCAGTATTTCTCCGCATTACAGGCGCCAATAATCTGTTGTGCATTTTCGCGGTCATTCCAGAAATCTGGTGCTTCCATAAGTTTTTCAAATTTGGCAATTTTTGCCCGTCTTTGATCGAGGTCAAAGATACCTCCCGAGTTTATCCACTCGTGCGCTATAATCGGATAGCGCGTCTTGCAATTCACGCACCTGAATTTCCACAGCCATTATTTGTCCTTTCCATTGTATTTATGACAATACATCAGCGCAAATCGATCAATTCCACTCCGCTGGGTACGTGAAATGTGAATTGATCAGCCTTGGCTTTTTTATTTACCTTCAAGTCCGACAACACAAATGTTGTTACATCCTCGTGGATATTTCGATATTCCACTTGCCGGACCAGATAGAGGCGTTTGTCTATCCACAGACGAATTTTATGGATATACGTATCTTCTTTTTTCCCCAATAGATCAACCGCGTAACACGTCTTGCGATGTATCTTTTTTTCGCCCACATAAACGGGTACATAATTTTCGTCGTACCCACCCCAAAAAATCAGATCAAATAACAACTTTTCATAGTTGCGATCATTTTCAATCGCGGTGTAATCGCTAATCAGCACCTGGGCATTGGCCGGCGCGTAATGCCACACGGTTTTGCCATCGCTCACCACTACCTGTACATCCGAATCCATTCGAAATTGATCGGGCCGCTGAACCAGCAATTTGCCTTTTACTTCTTGATGCTGGTCCATCACGCGCCAGTAGTGTTGCTTGACAAAGTGAGCGGAAAGCGTCTCGAGATCCGCAAATTTTTTCTGCAATTTTGCAACTACTTCTGAACCGCGCGCATCGGCCTGCACAGTTCCCGAGCAAAACAAAATACCGAGAATAGCGAGAAACGCATAGAAGCCCATTTTTCTTACGCGTTGCAGATGGGTTGCATTTTGCACTTTACGCATCATACATCCAACTCCTCGAGTTCTTCTAAATAATCTTCGCCAACGAGGACTTCGCGCCCTTTGCTCGATCCATTGGATGGGCCAACAATACCGGCGGCTTCGAGTTCGTCAACAAGGCGAGCGGCCCGCGAGTATCCCACCTTCATTCGGCGCTGCAAGAGTGATGCCGAACCCTGCTGATGGATAACCACCAATCGCAATGCTTCATCAAACCGAGCATCGCGCGCGTTATCGACAACAGGAAGATCGCTATTTTCGCCCTCAAATTCAACCCCTTCGAGTTCGACACCCTGATCGCGCACCCAGGCCACCACTTGTTCGGTTTCTTCGGTATCGATCCACGCACCGTGAAGGCGAATGGGTTCTGGTTGTCCAGGAGGCAAAAACAGCATATCGCCCCGACCCAGGAGTTTTTCACCGCCATTGGCGTCAATTATTGTGCGCGAATCGACCTTGGATGCCACACGAAATGCAATGCGCGTTGGGAAATTGGCTTTGATCGTACCCGTAATCACATTCACCGAAGGGCGCTGGGTTGCGATAATGAGATGGATGCCCACAGCGCGGGCCATTTGTGCCAATCGCGCCAGTGAGTTTTCAATATCGCTCGGTGCAGTCAGCATCAAATCGGCCAACTCATCAATCACCACGACAATATAGGGCAAGGCATCGGGAATCTCGTCCTGGTCTTCCTCGGTGGGTGCTTCCCGATGCAGCCGCGCCATCTTGGCATTAAAATCAATAATATTGCGCGCTGTAAACTGCGCCATCGTGCGATATCGGTTCTCCATCTCTGACACCGCCCATTTGAGCGCACCCGAAGCCATTTTGGGATCGACGACAACGGGAGCCAAGAGATGTGGAATATCGTTGTAAATTGACAATTCCAGCATTTTGGGATCCACCATAATAAAACGCACTTCTTCTGGTGTGCAGCGGAACAAGATACTGGAAATCAACGCATTGATACACCCCGACTTGCCAGCCCCGGTCGCGCCGGCAATTAACAAATGCGGCATTTTTGCCAGATCGGCACAATAGGGGTCGCCCGAAGCTGTTTTGCCGAGCGCGAGCATCAATTTTGAATCGGATTGATCAAACGTGCGCGATTCCAAAATTTCTTTTAAGTAAACCGTATAAGGTGCTAGATTGGGGACTTCAATGCCAACTGCAGCCTTGCCGGGAATAGGAGCCTGAATGCGAATGCTTTGCGCTTTCATCACGAGGGCGAGATCATCTGCAAGACCGACAATTTTGCTGACTTTTACGCCTGGGGGAGGTGCAACCTCGTACGTTGTAATAACAGGCCCGGGATTGACCTGCACCACTTTGCCCTCAACGCTAAAATTGCTCAGACTTTGCTCCAGCACCTGCGCCCCCTTAAAAAGGGTTTCTCGGTCTGTAATCCCATCACCCGGAGGGGGATCTTCCAGCAACTTCAAATTGGGCAGCAAATATGTCGAAGATCGCTTGCGCTTGATTTTCTTTTTGGGTTTTGACGGAACAGGTTCTGGTTCTGGCTCTGGCGTTTCATCTACTATTTCAAATTCCACTTCGGCCAATTCGTCTTCTTTCCAATCAACTTGAACCATATCTGGAATGGGGTCGGCAATAATCTCTTTTTTTCTGGCGTGCTTCTCCAACAATTCATCGATGTCTTCTTCATCAATGTCATCGGGGATCTCGGACCCCGGCACCTCGGCCAATTCGCCTTTTTCCCAATCGACCTGTGCCACATCTAAAATGGAATCGGCAACAATCTCTTCTTTAGTTATATTTTTTTTTTGATCGATGTCCTCAATTTGATTGATGTCTTCAACTCTTGCCACTTCGGTTGATGCCCCGTTATTGTCAGACTTCTCCGCGCGCTTTTTCAAAAAAAGTCCACTCGGGGATTCGGTTAAACGGAATGTCGGTGGCAATCATCAACAACACCACAAATAGCGTCGCCAAACAAATATAAGAACCAACAGTGCCCAAATAGGGTACTAACAAGGAAGACGATAGCATAAAGCCCAGTCCACCTCCCAATTTCCAGGCCATTGTGGGTCGCCCCCAAAAGAGCACGCCTGTCGCGCCACAATAAATCACCATCAGTGAAAACAGGATGATACTGTGCATCATGAACGATCTGACGCTTGATATCCTGAGGCGGTTCCACCCCCATACAACCACCAAAACGATCAGTGCATAAGCACCATAGCCCACGCTAAATAGCAAGTGGTAGGATATGTGTGCGCCGAGCCATCCCACCAGATTTTGTGCCAACTCGTTGGGGCGCGTTGAATTGGGCGGGTCTTCTGGCGAGTGCGATAGCAAGCTCAAAGCCATCAATACCGCGAGCGCGATCAAGCACACGCCCAAAATTTGAAAGGGTAATGTTAGCTGATCTTTTTGAGTCTCAGGTAATGCCTTCGATGACTGTTCCATATTTGTTCCTCACAGCATCAAAGGGGAGAATATATCCGATGTGGGGACATCGGTTATTGGCTTATCCCTCTTGCCAGCACCACAGGCTTGCGGGCGCGGAATAATTCGCCTTCTGGCGTACCGGCTTCCAGGTAGATAACATAAATACCGGGCTTCAACATTTGTCCATTATCGGTGCTTCCATCCCAATTTACAACGCGCTGACTGCCACCTTCAACACTTTCGAGCAAGGATGCCACGCGCCTGCCCGTGCGATCAAATACCCACAAATTTGCGTGGAGTCTGGGGGAGGGCACCCGATATGTAATGGTGACTTGATCGACAAAGGGATTGGGTTCAACCACCACGGATATCTTTGCTATGTCGTTAAACAGAACGCTATTTGCAGCCCCAGGAGTCGCACCTCGCGGATCCTGGCTACCGAGCCAGTTGTTCGGATCTTCCGCCACAGTGAGATCAATACGCTCCAGACTTATATCAGTCTGTTGTGCTGGATAAAATATGCTATCGACAAGTGTTGCTGTCGCATCGCGCAAAATGAGGCCATCGCCCCCATTATTTAGCCGGGGCCAACGGGTAAGCGACAAGATGGGAACATCGAGGCCGGGAAATTGCAGCCGAAGAGCATCTGCGTCTTCTGCGACGATCGCATATCCTCCACCGTCAATGGCCGCACTTGCTTCAAATTGTCCCGTTGTTCGCAAATCGGATAACGTCCACCCGGATAGATGAGCCGCGTCTGGCGAACGGTTGTACAGCTCAACCCACTCCGATCCATCGGCGGGCCGTGCCATCACCTCGTTGATCACCACCTGTGCGGAGACTTCCACAGTCAGCAAGGCCGTGCAACAAAACAACACGCAGGCTACTGCGTACATTTTGTTTTTCAAATTCTGTATTCTATCCATTATATCATCCCCAATCTTCGTCTAATAGTCCACTCAAATACCAGCAACCCCACCAGCACAAATAGTGGCCACTCCTGTCCCCACAACCTGACCCGGTGGTGGGTGACAACAGGTTCGGGGGCCAGAACAAGCGAGTCGAGCGCGGCCTTTAGATCACTCGGTCTCACATACTGTCCGCCACTGCGCGCGGCAATATCGCTGAGCAGTTCAGCGCGCATGCGAACGGTTTCGTATTCCAGGCTGTATCTCCCCACCGTGAAACGACCCGCACCCGTGCCCAGATCACCATCATCGGCCCGTGCATGCACCTGAAGCTCGTAATCGCCTTGTGAAAAACGCCCCAAATTGCCAGCATATCGTCCACCGCCCAAATCGCGCAGGATAACTTCCCGCACACCCAAACTGTCGTTGACCCGCGCCAGAACCCGCGCGCCAGAACGCGGCTGCAGCAGGTGGTCAAAAACGCTTGCATGCACCGCGACCGCCTCACCGCTTCGATACGTGGGCTTTTCGGTCATAATTTTTAGGCGGGATACTTCGTCGCGCGTGACCAGCCAGCGCACCATATTTTTCCAGAATGCCCGTGCCACGGCATCGGTCTTGCCGTCGCCCCACATCATCAGTCCGTGGCGCCAAAATGTTTGATAGGCCACAATCGCGGTTTTTCCCGCACCTACGCGACGAATCGCCAGCACTGGCATCGGTTTGCCATCGACGCGCTCGGTGGGATGATGCGCCAACACAGTCGCGTTGGCAACTGCGGTTCCCACGCGATTATAAGACAGAAGCGGCGGCAGTGCCTCCCAGGCATCGCGGTCGCCTAATGGATCGTCTGAGACGCGCAAAATGGGGTGGCGGGATTCGGGAAACGAAAGGGCAAAAGCGCGTTCTTGAAATGACGATCGCAAAAATCGCACGGGCAAAATATCGGCCAATGCCGAGCGTGCGTACCCTTCGTCAAAAGCGGCATCACCCCCAAGGGCCAATAGCCCTCCGCCCTTTTGCACAAAGGCGACAAGTGACTGCTCTGGCACACCTGCAAGCACTTCGTGGGGCACATTGATCAACGCGACAATATCGCGCTCGTCCAGTGTGCGCAGCGCGCGATGTATGTCTCTTTGCCATCCGGCCGTCATTGTGCGTACCAGCACTTCAACTTCCAAATTGGCATCGTTTTGCAGCACGCGCCTCAAATAGCCCAAATCAGCACTTGGGCTACCCACAAGTATTAAAATTCGAACGCGGCTTTCGAGCACATCCGTGGAAACCACCACGCGATTGTTGCCCACTGTGCGCTCACCTGTCTGCGCCGCAATTTGTACCGAAAAAGCATGTCGCCCCGCTCGCTCGGGTCTGATCTCAAATTCGAGGGCCTGCTCGCCATCGGCCAGCGCAATGGTTTGGGAACTCACTTCACGATCATCCAAAAGCACGCGCACTTGCTCGCGCACCCGTTCAAAACCGGAAGAAAGCACGCGCACTTGCATCACGAGCGACCTACCCACATAGCCCAATGGATCGATAACCGCCGATACAATGGATACATCTTTGGGCGCAATTGGGTTGCCCGTTCCCACAGCGAGTACTGGCACGCCCAGGCCGACCGCTGCCCGCTCGGGACGCCCGCCCAAATTTTGTCCACCATCTGAAATGAGCACCACAGCGGCAAGCCCTTCACCCATTGTACGCTCGCGCAACCCATCTAATGCACCTGCCAGATCTGTCGCTCGCCCAGCCCAGGTGGGTTCTTCTCCTTCATGCATGGGTGTCAAAACATCGGAAAACCGAAAAGGCGCTACCCGCGCGCGATCGCGCAGATTTTTGAGTGTGGGATCGGCCAGTACGGCTTTCGCAACTTCAAAACGCGCGGTATCGCTATCTGCAATTTTCATGCTTTCGCTGTCATCAATGAGCAGGGCGACTAAGGGCAAACGTTGCGTATGCAACGCCAGCGCGAGAATCGGTTCCATCAAAAGGCCAATTAGCAAAACAAGTGCTATGATGCGTACGCCCAACAATAATCGATGTATGCCTTTAAGGCGCGACTGATATACCAGAAAAGCGAGATAGATTCCGGCGCAGCCAACGAGTAATAGCAGCCAGCCATCGGAGGTGGAAAATTCAATATCGCGCAGCATTGTTACACCTGCCGCTCGCGCAGCCCCGGTAGTGGCAACCGCGGGGCCGCATTCAAATTACCTCCGGCAACTTCACCTCGCGCCAGCCGAAAAGCACCCGCGCTGGCAATCATCGCCGCATTGTCTGTACACAAAGGCGTGGGCGGATAAAACACACCCATACCGAGGTTAGAAGCACCGGCATCAAGTTGAGCCCGAAGTGCGCGATTGGCGGCTACCCCGCCCGAAAGCAACACCCGCTCTGCCCCTACTTTCTGCGCCGCTCTGAGTGTTTTATCCACCAGCACATCGACCACAGCTGCCTGAAAACTCGCCGCAATATTTGCTCGAGCAGCTTCAATATCCTCTACGGCGAGATCGCGAATCCGATAGAGTACAGACGTTTTTAAACCGCTAAAACTAAAATCAAACCCCGGATCGTGTATCAACGCACGCGGAAAATCAAAGGCATCGGGATTCCCCTCTTCGGCAAGCATCGAGATGCGCGGTCCACCCATGGTGACCTCGCCCTCGCGCAATAGCCCCAGTATTTTAGCCACCTTATCAAATGCTTCACCCGCGGCATCGTCGCGCGTGCGCCCCCAGCGTTCGTAATTGCCCCACGCACAGACATAAATTAGTTCTGTATGCCCTCCCGAAGCCACCAGTGCCATAAAAGGCGGCACGAGGTCGGGATGCGCCATACTGCCTGCAAATAAATGGCCTTCGATGTGGTGTACACCCACAAGGGGCAGTCCCGAACCCAGTGCAAGCCCTTTCCCCACGGAAATGCCCACGAGAAGGCAGCCCACCAGGCCTGGGCCCTGCGTCACTGCAATGCCGCCTAAATCGCCGAGTTCTAAATCGGCTTCTGAAAGTGCTTGATCGACGACGGGCAGGAGTGTCCGTATGTGGTTGCGAGACGCCAATTCGGGCACTACGCCACCGTAGAGACTGTGTTCTGTTTGGGACAAAATCGCGTTGGAATAGATACACCCATCAGCTACCACAGCAGCGGCAGTTTCATCGCAGGATGTTTCAATGCCCAAAATGGGCCGACCAGAAATGCTCATAATTATGTTGGCCGTTGGGAGAATGAGGGGAGTGTATCAACAGACGAAGGGCAAAAAGAAAGAAACCGGTGCCGCCCTTTTGTGGGATAAGATGAAACGGCAAACCGGTAAGAGGAAAAAACAACCATTTCGGCGAGGTGTTCCCCGCCGAAATGACAGCTCTACTTGTAGGACTCGGTAATATTCCGGCCCGTGCTAATTTCACCGTTGTCAATCCGCAAATTAAATCCGCAATTGGGATTGTTGCATACCCAGGCTTTGTACATGATAGATGCCCCATCGCGCCCATAATCCGACAGCGGCAGCAAAATACCTGTGTTGCACTTCAAACACTGTGGAAATGCTTGCTCCATAAAACCCTCCTCTCCACTGGCGTCGTTATAAAAATCCCGCCATGCACACAACCCTTTCGGCCATAAGCAGGGCTGATCATGGCCAAGGGATAAATTTGAAGATAATGTAACAAACTTATGTATAAAGTCAACTTGTTTTATCCCATTTTCCTGTGCGCATCCTGCGTTAAAGCAATTGACAGGTGCATTTTGTCGGGTTATTTTGCTGTGTCTTTTCACCGCGTTTTTTACTCCCTTATTCTGGAGGATATATATGTCCACTGGTATTCGCAACTTTATCATTTTCGCCATCGCTATAATCGTCTCGTGGATCGTGGGAGCAAGTGTGCCTCCCACATGGACCGTTGAACAAATCACCTTAGACGTTCTCACAGACGATAGCGGCAATCTGTATTACAAATACAGAGGCAAACCCGCCTATTTCGATGCGGTGCCGCTTGAACAAGCGCAACTCAACCCCTCAAGAATACACGGATCCCGCGAAACGCCTCCCATCAAAGAAGAATTTGTCTCATTTGTGGAAGATGGAGAAACAAAATATAAACAACTCCATGCAAAACACCACTGGGGCTACTGGTCACTGTTGCCGGCGATAGTGGCCGTGCTATTGTGCTGGCTTACCAAAGAACCCGTCACAGCTCTGTTGGGCGGTATTATTTCGGGCGCGCTTATTTTAACGCGATATGACTTTACAGGCGAGGTCTTAATCCCCTCATTGGCGACTTCAAATGCCGCGAGTATCTTATTGCTCTATTTGTGGCTCCTGGGCGGGCTTATGGGGATATGGTCGCGCACGGGTGCAGCGCAAGCTTTTGCCGAATTTATGACTGTGCGTTTTGTTCGCGGCCCCAAAAGTGCCAAGCTCGTCGCCTGGATGCTCGGTGTCATTTTCTTTCAGGGCGGCACTGTCAGTACGGTGCTGGTCGGTACGACTGTCAAACCCATTGCCGACAAAGAAAAAATTAGCCACGAAGAATTGGCGTACATCGTCGATTCGACCGCTTCACCGATTGCTTCACAACTCGCTTTCAACGCCTGGCCCGGCTATGTACAAGCCTTTATCTTTGTCGCTGGCGTCAGTTTCTTAGCTACAGAAGCAGACCGCCTGCTCTTCTTTTTTAAAAGTGTCCCGTTCTGCTTTTACGCCATTTTCGCCGTGCTGGGCACGTTCCTGCTCAGTATTGAAAAACCCCTCTTTTTGGGCAAGCAGCTCAAGGATGCTATGAATCGCTCTCGAGAGACGGGACAACTCGACGCCGACGATGCCGATCCTTTGAGTGCCAAAGAACTGCAGGGAAGCAATGTGCCCGAAGGCTACACGCCGCATGTTCTCGAATTTTTCCTGCCTCTGGGCGCGCTCATCGCCATTGCTATCGGGACTTTTATTACCAGCGGATCCCCCAATGTGCAATGGGCTTTTGGCATCGCGCTTCTCTTAGCCGTGGGCATGGCTCTGGCCAAGGGTATGTCGCTTAAAGATATTGTCGCGGGTTTTCACGATGGCCTCAAAGGCGTGGTGCTCGGCTCGGTTATTCTCTTGCTCGCCATCACTATTGGCGGCATCAGCAAGGAAACGGGTGGGGGGATCTTTTTGGTCGAGCAACTCGGGGACAGTATTCCATACTTCATTTTACCGGTTTTGCTCCAGCTTCTCACAATGGCGATCGCCTTTTCCACGGGTACGAGTTGGGGCACGTATGCGGTGGCTTTCCCACTGGCTATGCCACTGGCCTGGGCGGTTGCCGGCGCAAATGGCCTGTCACACCCCGAACTTTTTATGACTCTGTGTTTTGCCGCCGTTATAGACGGTAGCGTTTACGGTGACCAGTGCTCGCCCATTTCAGATACCACGGTTCTGAGTTCCATGTGTACGGGGTGTGACCTGATGGATCACGTCAAAACGCAAATCCCTCAAGCCTCTATCGCCGCTGGTCTGGCTGCAATCTGCTGGACTGCCGTCGCTTTCTTCACTGCGTAATGGGATTCTCTATAATTCATTAAGCCAAAAGGAGACACACAATGCCCGTTGGAATGATTCTGTTTTTGACATTTATTGCGGCTCTGTTCATCATTGGGTTCATGGTTATCTCTTCGGAACACAAATCGGATTGAAACGCCAGCGATGAATCGCCTTTTTCACACCGCATTGCAAAAAGCATAAAAAAAACCGCAGGACATTCTAAGTCCTGCGGTTCGCTTTTCTTTTTTTATTACTTTTATCTCGACACCAAGGCAGACGGGTCGCCCTCAATCCAGGCTTCACCCCCGTCTGTCCACACCTCTTTTTTCCAGATCGGCACGGTCTGCTTCAATTGATCAATCGCGTAGTGACACGCTTCCAAAGACGCCTTGCGATGCGGAGAAGAAATCGCGATTAACACGCTGATCTCCCCAATTTTTAACCGGCCTACGCGGTGCAATATTCCCACGCAATCCACCTCCCACTTGTCTTTTACTTCATCGCCTATTTCACGCATTTTCTTTTCGGCCATGTCTCTATACGCATCATAGACCAGGTAGGAGGTTCCGCGCCCTTTTGTATTGTCTCGCACCACGCCCGCAAACGTGGTGACAGCGCCGTCCGAATCTGCCAGGACCGCATTGTATAACGCATCTGGTTTTATCTCATTGTCCTGGATTTTATACACATCGCCAGCCATGATAATTTCCTTCAAAGGTGAGACGTAAGATACAAGATGTAAGACGTGAGACGACCACCCACCCACACCAGTTCTCAGCCCCTGCCTCTCCCTTCACCCACCACTCACAGGTGGGATAAATGCCACCTCATCGCCATCTTGAAGTTCCGCATCCCGTTCCACATACGCCTGATTGACCGATACCATCAAACTCGGTGCCATATCGGTAAATCGCGCCTGTTCCGATGCGAGTTCTGAAATCAAATCCGTTACTGTCGCGCCATCTGTTAGTGTCATTTCCCGCTCACCGGTGCCAATCAAATCGCGACATGATGCAAAAAAGAGCACTTTGATATTCAATTTCCACTCCACATAGATGAACACCACTAACCACTACTTCTTTTTTTAAGCCTTGGATTGTTCTGGAGGCCCACTTTGCGGCCGCGTTTTGCAATGGGTTTGCCATCGATTTCTTTAATATCTGCTGTAAAATCAATCGGCGATGCGCCGCTGATTGCACTGCCTACGCCAAAACCGGCAATCGGACACTTCAACCGCACAAATTTTGAGATTCGCTCGGGGGTTAGCCCGCCACTCACAAAAATCCCCACCTGGTCAAAGCCCGCACTGTCCAATGCTCTGCGCACGCGCCAGACCAGATCGGGCGTGACTCCACCTAACTCCGAGGGTGTATCCAGGCGGACTCCCCACAATCGCCCGGCCATCGCACGCGCGACGCGTACGCTTTCTTCGGCTTCGTCGCGAAATGTATCTACCAGTACAATGCGTCGCACGGAACTCGGCATGTGGGTATCAAAAGCTCGGGCAGCGGCTACTGTATCGCCGTAAATCAATATCAAAGTGTGTGGCATTGTGCCCGATGCTTTTTGATCGGATAGGGTAGCGCCTGCCGGTGTTGCACAGCCAGCACATCCCCCGATCAATGCGGCGTATTCCATGCGGTCTGATATGGCGGGATGGACATGCCGCGCGCCAAAACTGATCACGGGAATCTCACCTGCGGCTTTCACACAGGCACGCGCCGCAGTGGCCCAACCGCTGCCATGCGCGAAAAAAGTGCTGACATGCCAGCACGCCGTTTCAAAATTCGATGCGCAGTATCCTGCGTGAGAGCGCAATATACCACTTCTTTGCGCGCCATTGGTGATCCTTCATCCAGCGACCAAATCTCTACATTTTCGGGCAATGTCTGACGCAAAATGTCCAGGACCTCTCGGATGCCGCACAAGAGGCCATCGGCATTGGGAAATATCTCCATAACTACCGATGGGTTGCGGCTTTCGGCTTTGAGCACCGCGAGGGTATTTAGAAAATACTGATCTGCCCGGTTTCTGTCCAGGAATGGGATGTGCTGTATGTCATTCATATCGAAATATACGGAGCAGGTGAACTTCTACGACAATGAATGGATACCTATAATTTTTTTTTCATTGCATCCAAAAATGCCGACGGCACTTGCACTCTTCCCATCACGGCTTGACCGCGACCATCGCCGTGGCAATCTGATCCGCCCGTTGTGAGCAAGCCATAGTGATTTGCCATAGCCGAATAGCGACGTATATCCGCGTAGTCGTGTTTGATATGCATCACTTCTATACCGTCCAATCCCTGTTTGATCAGATCGGGAATCAGATCGTCTCGTCGATACAAAACGGGATGTGCCAGACTGGCCAATCCACCAGCCGCATGAATTATTTCTACCGCTTCACCCGGCGACAACACAAATTTGGGTTGATACGCGATCCTGCCATACCCCAGATATTTTTGGAATGCCTGATTGTGGGAAAACACAAACCCCTCTTCGACCAGCACATCCGCCACATGGGGTCGTCCGATAGCGGCACCGTCCGCTTTGAATAATACCTGCGCCATTGTGATCCCCACGCCCAGGCGATTGAGTCGGGCCACTATTTTTTCAGCGCGTTTGATCCGTGCATCTTGAAATTGCTGCAAAAACGCCTGCAAATCCGAATTTTCAGGATCGACAAAATGGCCCAAAATGTGAACGTCTGTGACCGCTTCCTGCGCGCTCAACTCAATGCCGGGAATTACTTCTACACCGATATCCCGACCGACATTCTGAGCCTCTTGCACGCCGGCAACCGAATCGTGATCCGTCAGGCTGATAGCCGATAACTCCAACGCGGCTGCCCGCTGAACAACCTGTGTTGGAGAGAAAGAGCCATCCGATTGCGTCGAATGCAGGTGTAAATCAATATAAGCGTCCATAGGAGAGTCAATTGTCGGTGGTCAAGGTTATACGTACGTCATTCCCGGTGCCTGTTTCTTGCCTTCACGCTGTAGCTTACGCAATTGACCGCGCAACAAATTGCGCTTGATCGCGTTGAAATGTTCGAGGATCAGCACGCCATTGAGGTGGTCAATCTCGTGCTGAAGTGCTTTGGCTGCAATACCATCCAGATCCATTTCAAATACACGGCCATTTCCATCGAGTGCACACACTCGGCACCTGATGCCGCGGCGTGTGACACACTCCGCATTTTCACTATCTTCTGGCAGCGCGAGACATCCTTCTTCGCCAATATATTCACCTTCTGTCCATAAAATTTCCGGGTTGATAAATACCAGAGGATCACGACAATGGCATCTGCCGGACGTACACTCCCTTCCCAGACAGTCTCCCGCCCTGTATAGCCAACCTGTTGTGCAGCAAGGCCAACGCCTTCGGCTTCATACATTGTTTCAAACATATCTTCAACAATTTTCCGCACTTCGTCGGTCACATCTTGAACGGGCGTTGCTTTTTTTCGCAGTGTTGGGCAACCGAATTTTATTTTGATTCGACGAGTCACGCGTCCCTACTTCTCCGTATAGAGGAGCGAGACGCCCTTCGTCTCTATTTTTAATAATGCTTCATTCAAGCTGCCCGTGCGATAACCCTGAAGATCCAGGGTCACATAGCGATACCCAATATTCTTGAGTGTCTGGGCAACAGCCTCGTTTGTACCATCCTGAAAAAAACGCGTCAGATCTTCAGGCGGAACTTCAATGCGGGCAATATCCTCGTGATGCCTAACGCGCACTTGTTCAAATCCACGCGCTTTCAAAAATTGCTCGGCGCGATCAATTTTATGCAATGCGTCCTCTGTGACCTCTGTTCCATAGGGGATTCGAGAAGACAAACACGCCGATGCGGGCATGTCCCAGGTGGGCAAGTGCCATTGTTTTGACAATGTTCTGACGTCATCTTTGGTGAATCCCAATTCGACCATTGGCGCGCGAATACCCCGGGATTCAGCGGCTGCCATACCCGGGCGATAGTCGCCAACATCGTCGGCTATCGCGCCGTAAAGCAAATACTCGAACTGCCCTGCATAGTGTTCGATTACTTCGTCCAGCTTATCGGCCAGGGCACTCTTGCAGTGAAAACACCGATTGGGATCGTTTTTGACATAATCGGGATTTTCCATCTCCCGGGTATAGACGACATCGAGTTGAATGCCAATTTGCTCGGCCAGTGCTTGCGCCTTTTCGAGTTCGCCAGACGCATAACTCGCGGAGACCGCAGTTACTGCCAGCGCTTGGTCGCCGAGGACCCGATGTGCCGCTGCCGCCAAAAACGCGCTGTCAACGCCACCCGAAAATGCCACTACCACACTGCCCATGTCTTTGAGCAAAGCATTCAGCCGTGTGAGTTTTTCTTCAAGTGTCATGTTTTTTACCCTCAAAGAGGTAAGAGGTGAGACGCAAAAGGTAAGACGTTCAGTTCACACTGGTAATTCATCTCACTTTTCACTTTTTAACCGCGCCAGGTACTACTACTGCATCCACCATTCCGTGCAATATTTTTTTGTCTGCTGGACAGACTGTCGCCTGTAAGCCCGAAAGGACTGCCTTGTTTTTAATGACAAAATAATAGGGCTGTAGTCGCACCCGACCTCTAAAGGTTTCGATTTGATCGGTTTCGTAATCGTAATACGACGCAGAAAAAGTCGCGCCATTGTGAAATTCCTGCATGATATGAGGCGTTTGCTCAAAAGCGCGTAGTGATCCATCGATCACGCCTTGCCAATCTTGTTCGGCCATGTCGTGCCCAATGGCCACGCCGCGACTGCCCCAGGCCATTTCAGAATATCCCGAGGGCTTGATGACCAGTTGCCGGTGTTTTTGGCCCAGGTGCCCCAGCGCACGCCAATCGGAAAAGGATTGACCATCAATTTCCAATCCCGCAATAACGCCATGGGGCGGCAAAGGCGCGGGATCTAAGATCCACGTTTTGGGAAAGGTTTGCTGCAAAAAGGCCACGGATTTTTTGCCCAGATGTTGATGCCAGAAATTTGATAGCAGGGGATGGTGAAATAATGCCATCATCATCTTTTCTTCGTGATACGCTTTTACGGGGGGCGTGATTTTGACGAGACCTTTGCGTACTGCGTATAAAATTAAATCGATTTGGGGCAGGTTCCGCAAATCGAATAGCTCAAAAAATCTGTATATCACGTCTAAGCGTCGGCGACCATGCGCCCCATTCACAAATAGCCCATCTTCGACAAAAGATATTTCTTCGGGGCCAACGACATAAGTTTCCAGGCCGGCGGTGTTCAACCGGTCGCCCAGGTACGCCATTTCGGGACGATAAGCCGATGCTTCTTCCGAGACCACTACGCCCAAAACAGGCGCGTTTGTGCCGGCAATGTCGCGGATCATCTGTGCAAATCCCGTGACCATCCCATTTGCGCCGCCCACAATCTGATCGCCGAGTTTGGCATATCGCTCGGCCAGGCTTGCCGTAAATCCAATTCCACCGGGTACGGAATCCAGTTCTGTCGCGATCATTCCCGCTCGCGTGGGTATCACATCGGGCCGAATCACGAAGGGTACATGGCTTTTGAATCGGCTCATTTGCCCAAATTTGATCACTTCTTCCGATTTGCCCTGGTCCAAATACTGCGCGATCCATGCGGGTTGAATACCCCTTATACTTTGCGAATACAACAGATTTAGTGCTTTGTAAAACTGATAGAGATGTTGCCCCAATGCCTCGAGGTGTGATAGAACCGGGGGCGGCAGCCACCACGGATCGGGCGATACGCGCCACGAACTGTTCGACTGCGGGTGCACCTCGCGCTGTACTTCGGTATATAAACCACCCCTGGGCGTCAGGTCGTCAATATAGCGTGCCCGTTCTCGGGCGTCCATCTCGTCAATGGATTTCTCCGTGTCACATATGCTCATAAAAATTCCTTCAATTGGCGTGTTTGCATTTTCTAAGACCCATTCCCTAAAATACAAAGAACAGGGAGTTCTGCAAGATGCGAAGCCCTGTTCTTTTAAAAGGATAAGTATGTGGGGGCTTATCCTTTGCGCTTTGATCGCAGATGCTCACTGATTAGGGTGCGCTCGGCCTCAGAGAGCACTGGCGCATCATCTGCTTGTTCGGATGGAGGTTCTATCCCCACTTTGGTCTCATCTTGCACCAAGGGTTCTGCCGGTTCGGGAGGCGCGGATGATGGCGACGGTTCTGACTCTACTTTGGGTGGTTCAACAGGCGATATATTGGATAGGGTGCCCAGGTGTATTTCTTCGGCGAGTTCGTCTTCCAGGTTCAATCTCGCGGTAACGGCGTTATAAATCGATTTGGCAGCTTCGACCCGGGCTTCTATCTGACGAATCGATTGGCGCAATTCGTCCATCATAGCCAGTGCGTCTTCAATTTCTTGACGCGCATAATCGAGGACTTGCTCATAAAGTATATCTGTGGAATCACCATCTGGAGCTGTCATAAAAACATCCTTAAAAATTTGTGAAAATCCGATGTGCAAACCCCGTAATTATAAGGCACACAATATAAGATAGCAAGATAAAATAGAGTTTGAGATGTGGATTAGCTATTGGGCTACTCAAAGATGATTCACCCCGTACCAAACTCCCGGAATCGGCAGGCAGGCGCGCAAGACCCCACCTGCACGTCCTCCGGCATCCAACATCGCGTTCTCAGTTTCTTCATGGGTTCCAAAAATCAGTTGTGCCGCTGCACCGCGGCTTTCGGCCACTACGCGGTCGCCGCCGTAATAGATGTGGTATTCGTCACCGATTTCCCGAAATACCAGCCCATGGGCGGCGTGTTCTCCGACGCGCTCGACAAAATAAGGACGCATTTTTTCGAGCAACTGTTCGAAATGAATGATCATCGCCGTGCCGGGTAGATTGGCAGGCTCACCTGCTAAACCGCGCGCTTCAAGCAGGCCGCGCAATACGGTGTCGAATCCCTTGACGTGCAATGATAGCCGATTCAACTTTTCGATAAACTTGCCCAATGCGCCGACGATTGCAGACCGCTCACCTGCGTAATCGAGCAAATATACTTGCCCTGCATCTCTCTCTCTCGCTTGCTGCATGATCCCAAAAGCAACGGGTTGATCGCCTCGATGGATCAGATAGGTTTTTGCCGGGCGGTTCTGCACCCATCCATCTATGCCAAAGGCGATATCTGAAGGCGGGCGCAACCAGCGCACGGGTTCGCGCCGATAAATGGCTCCAATCGTTTCGACATCCGATTTTGATGCCTGAGTTATCGTCCAGGCAGCATCGTCAAAATCGCCCGCTCGCTCACGCGCGATGTGATATATCCAGTCTCGCCCTACATATCGACACCCATATCGGTGGTACATGTTGCGATAGCCCGATACCATGATATAATCACGCCATCTTTGCGGCAGTGGCGCATGGTATCTCGCAAGAGTGCTGTAGCATGGCCCCTGCCCCGATGGGATTCACAAGTTGCCACCCCTCCTAGAGAGGCCACGCGAAGTGTGCATCCCATAATGGATATGTTCCGCCGAATTGTGCCGATATGCGATACTACTTCGCCATTTTCCACGACCACGCGCAAATTGTGCATATTATCGTCATTGAACGCGTGTGGCTGAATATCTGCCAGTCCCTCAAAAAATACGTTGTCGAGTAGCTGGCGTAAACACCCCATTTCATCGCGGCGCACGCTGCGAATCCCATTTTCCCACGATGCTTCTATTTCTCTGGGCATAAAGGTCTCCGGTAAATCGATTGGGAAGAAAACAGCGATACGACGTCTTATCCCATCAAATATTTATCAAATATGTCCAAACACTTGTCGCCACTAAATTCGTGGACCCCATCAAACCGATCCTTCACCAACCGATCGCGTGCATCTGCAGCGCGATAGATTTTTGATAAGTGGCGAAAGGCTCGTTCAGCATCTGCGATCTGAAAGCCCGGATCGCGTTCACCCATCTCCACGACCAGAGGTCGTGGCGCGATCAAACCCGCAACATCGGGAATATCGCCGATTGCCATCAACCCCGGCATATATTGCGCGCCGCAGAAATTTGCTCTTCCGGGCATCGCACCTTCTCGCAATGTGCTGAGATACCCGCTGATACACGCGCATTTAATCCGCCGATCCAGAGCCGTCAAATAGGTCGTCATAGTGCCGCCAAACGACACCCCCAAGCACCCGATCCGTTTCTCATCCACTTCTCGGCGCGCTTGTAAGTAATCCAGTGTGCGAAATCCATCCCAGATCTGCAATGCCAAAAAGTGATACCCGCGATACCCTTCTGCCATGTAATTGACATTGCACTTATCGCGCGTTTGGCGCACCCAATCCTCGGGACTCATCCGCTCGCCAAACCCGCGCCAATCCGGCGCGACAACCACATAGCCCCGCCGCACGAGTTGGATACCCAAATGCTTCTGATAATCCTCGTGTGGCTTTTCATCTGCGTCCAGGCCCACGAGTGGATTTTTTCCTATCCCATGACCGTGTGCCGCCAGAATCCCCGGGCGCTTCTCACCGCGTTTCAATCCCTTTGGCACCAGTACAAATGCGGGTACACTGGCAAAACGCTCTGTATCAAACGCGACCTTTTCGCGCACGTAATCCCCCATATCATCCCGGCGAATCACTTCTGCCCGAAGGGGCACGCGCTCGGGCATCGGTCCCAGATTTTTTATCAATCGCGTGCGAAATTTTCGACGCCACAGGCGCCAGTCATCTACAGTCTGTCCATCAAATGCCAACTCGGACTTTGTCGCCCGCATCCACGCAAAAACAGATTCATAAGGCGAGAAGAAGCGTTTGCGTCTGTCCATTGGTCTTTTCCTTTTTCAAGCCAAAATGCCCACTTCCCACAAAATACAGGCTATGGCAAATATTACATATACCAGCGATGCAATCACCATCATCGCGGTGCATCCTTTGCCAGGCCGGGCGGTTTTTGGCAAATAGCGATAATTGATGTAGAGCATGAGCGGCACGTAAATTGCCATGGCAAATCCGCCCATATAGGCCGCATTAAACAGAAAGCCCAATTCACTCACACCGTATTGTTCCATCACAAAAGTGATCACACATCCAGCCACAATCCATATTCCCGCGACGAGGAGATACCACCAACTCAGGTCTCGTTTTTGCGCGCCCTTAAAATTGGTATATACGATGTCTGCGATTGACCGCGCGACCCCATCTACGAGGGCGAGTTGTGTGCCAAATAGTGTTGCCAGCCCTACCAGGAGAAAGATCACGCGACCAATATCGCCCCAAATTTCGCCCAAAATAGCGGCCTCGTCCCAAATTAGCGTGCCGCGCGCGGGAACGATGCCCTGGGGGTGCAGGACTGCGAGCGATCCAAAGATGAACAACATCATCGTAATGGAATTTAATCCCCAGAAG